TTATTTTCACATAGCCAAATGAAGTATTCCAGGCTTTTGGGACAAAGATCAGCTTTTTGCTGTGGTTACTGCTGCTCCTCCTAATGGTTTGCAGGAAGCTTTTGTGATTCTGGTGCTGTTTCTGTGTCCAATTAGTTCTACCTGATGTTAATTGGTCAGTTTATAGTAGCCAGGACAGATTAATTCCACCTTCCCCTCAGTTAAACACTTGGAGTTCTGCCCTTTTCACTGATTAAATCAGCTTTTTAGTAGTAGCTTGTAGTGCTTTTACACAATATCTTAGCTCATTTATCACACATCTGTCTGATGCAGGCTGGGGTTTATACCCATTTCTGAGCTGAGACAAGACATGCAGAGGTTAAGTGTCTCTTGCCTGCATGTCTCAGGCAGTACTAAGAGTTCAAATGCTTTTATTTGTCACCTTTGCTCCATCAGACAAGTGGCTGCTTTGGAAAGCTGTGCTTTGGGTCTCAGCCTCCATTTCTCAGCATTTTACATCAGGGTGCTTTAATTTGGAAGGATGGGGGAAAAGTGTTGTAAGGGAAGGTGGTTTTGTGACTGGCCTGACTTTGCAAATAAATATTAAACAGGAAATTTAAATACATTGATTATGTTTGCTCTTGATGCATATATCACAGTAAGGTGCATAATTAAGCTGAAATAACTCCACTAGGCCTGACCAACCACTCCTTTTAACCTTTTAGCAGAGACTGTAGCATGGCAGTTCTTTTATTCCTTATGTTCAATAATTACATCATCAAAAATATGTAAAATTAAGGAAGATTTTAAGTTCCTCCTTGCAGTATTTGAATAAAACACTTTGAGGTAATTTTTGCAAACCTTAGCTCAGAGATCTCTAAGGAAGTATCACAGAATATGCAGTGTAGGTACTTTGAGTAGTGAGGAATTGGCTTTGATGTAACCATTTTCTCCTCTCTCTTTTTCCAAAACAGGACGTGAAAAAGCAGAAATATCAATATTACTTGTATTTAGCCATGCAGTTATATTTTTTATGATGACTCTTAATAATTTTCACTAGCAGCTGATAACAGCTGAGCAGCTTTTGCTGAGGCAGGTATTTGCTGCCCAGTTTTTGTTGTCAAAAATTGTCCTTTCACTGTGATTTTTGGGAGGGGACATACCCCAAACCCTACATTGCTCACAGGGTATTTTAGAGCCTTCCCAAAAGGTGGGGGTGGGATTAGATCTACAGGATGTGGAAAGAAAAATATTCTAAAGTGAATGGAGGGTCTAAAATGAATGGAGAAATGTGGCAGCAAAACTTGCAAAGCTCCACTGGAAGGGTTGATTTCCTCCAGCTTGCTTTGAACAGTTTTATAGGGATGGCAAAACAAGGTTTAAGTCTACACTTGGACTTGCATAATCTGAGCTTCAGATACAGGAAAACTCCAGGATGACTTGGTGGCAAATATGTGAAAGCAGAGCAGAAGGAAGTGGTTTCCAGCAGGGACCAGTTTTGGAAGGTAATACACATTTTATTACCTGGATAGATGGGAATTAAACCAAAAAATGTGGACTAGTACATCCATATAAACAGCCTGAAGTTTAAGTAACACTGGGAAACTAAAAATACCCTCAGCAGTTGGTGAGCTGAAGGTTTGTTACAATTACTTTAAGCCGGGTGACATTTTTAGCTGAGGTTGCGTGGTTTCATTTAAACTTTATTAAACAAACTGGAGCTGGAATTTTCCCTGGAGAGTTGGATGCAGCACTAATCTCCTGTTCAACAGTTTGCAGCTTTGTTGGAAACCTTCCAGCTGAGGTGGCACAGGAGCTTTGTGTTAGCAAAGTTACCACAGGCACAGTGACAGGCTGGCACTTTGTTTCACTGGTGGTTTTTGGAAGTGGGCAGGTAGATTTTTAAGGGGTATCACACAGGATCTTAAGTATTGAAACTTACCTTTGTTACCTTGAATTAACCTCACAGTCAAAAGGTCACTTGTGTGCTCTGGAGGTGTAAAGAATGAAATGCGAAATTCCAGTTGAGTCGTTTTCCCTGCAATAATATTGAGGTTGTGCCACCTGTTACAGGCAGGTGGGATGTGAAGATGGTTTTTGCTGTGTTCACTGCCACAAACTCCTCCTGGGAAGTTGTCAGTGTCTGTTTTCCCCTGTCAGGCTGTGAATACAACAAGGGTGCTCCCCATGGCGTGGTGTCTGTCTCCTGTGTCTAATGACAGCAGCCTGTGAATGCTCTTCTCAGAGGTGTTTGTAGACAACTGGCTCCTGGAAGTGTTTGGGGAATCTGTGCCTTTGGAAAAAGTGAATATTCCTAATGAAAGGACTTCAGTCAGTGTAGGAAACAGTGTAGGAGACAGGCTGGTGTCTAAAGGCAGGATGAAAAACCCCTCTGTGTTCTCTGATGCTTCCTGTGTCTTGGGCTTGTGGAATTGAGAGAAAAAAGGCAGCTTCTGGGGATCTGAGTGTTCTAATTTCTGAAATTATTATAGTTATTATAGTAATAGATGTATTGCTTCTAGAAATGTTCCTTTAATAATTGAAGACTTAGTTTTATTTCCTCTCAAAATGCCATCGTGCTCTATCTCTGTTGAATAATTGGTGCTTTGGTGTTGGGATTTTGAATTCAAATATTTTGCCTTCCAGACTCATAGTAAACATTGATAATATCTTTGATTTATACTCTGCTCATTTCAGTTGTACTTTCATGTGCATGGATCTAAATGTATAATGAACTTATCTTTACAAAGCTTTGCAGATGATTTTAAATGGGCAGCATCAGTCATTTTAATGGCTCCTGGGGAAGGAATGAAAGTAATTACCTTTCCTGTTATTCCATGACCTTTTTTGTAGTTTCTGTATGCAAACAATAATATTGAGTGGGCTTTGGCAGTAATAATTTGCTTTTGAAATGTAACATGGACTGGCAGTATCAACTTATCACCCCTGTTAAATACACTGATAGTGCAGTTCTTTCTGAAGATCTTGGGAGTATTGCTTGACAAGTCTTGTTCCCAACCTTCTCCTCACCTTGGCTGGCACTCCAGTCACTCCCATGGATTATGGGAGATACATTTATATGGGATTTTCTCACTCCTGGGCACTGCCTGGAGTGCACACTGGACAGTCAGGGGTGCTGCAAACATCAGTTTAGCAAATGTTTGTATAGAAACTTTTGCCAAATAACCCCAAACCAGATTGGATTTAATGGTGAGGAGATCAAAGAATTAAGAGAGGGAGAAGAAACCAGAGCACAGAATTTATTTTTGTTAAAGATATGTGTGTGTGTGAGCAGGCATATAAAAACTACGAAAAATGAGAATAATTTAATCCCAGAATTGTTGTTTGATTTAGTCTAAGATCCAGGTTGTTTGCTTTGCTTTGCCAAAATTCCAAAGCCAGGAGCTTCCCTTTTCCATGATCCCTGAGCAATCCCAACACTCATGAAATGTGGAGAGATGTCCCTGCTGCCTGAAGATTTTCTGTAGTGACGTTGTGCTTAAAGGTGACAGGAGGTGAAGCACTTCCCTTCATCTCCTCCTGGTTTGGGTGTTCATCAAAGCACCCCTCTAAAGGCACCAGTGACTCTGGGTAGATGTTAATGGGAAAAATTGGAATTTAAACACCTTAGAAGCCAGGTAACAGTATGAGACCAACATTCTTCTGCCATGTAATTACAGCAGGCTCGTTTTAGTCAAACAAGATATGTGCTAATGATAATCACCACTGTGCTAATTGATAGCTCTGGTGCTGTGTGGGTTACACTTGAGGTTTATCTCTTAGATACTTTGATATTTTTTTTCTTTATGGTTAGAAGTACCCAGAATCTGTAATAAAATTTGAGAGGAAACATAACCCAATTTCTGTTTTTACACAATTGTTAAGTGGAACCAATTTCTGTTTCAGTGTTGACTCGGATTAAAATTAGGGAGGAATGTTTTAATGTGATTTACTTTTAAGGATTGTTTTTTGCTTTTGATGAATGAATTAACTGAAAAGCAGAAGTTTTACTGAGTGCTGGATTAAGCCCTCAAGGGCTCTGTTTTATTTTGGCTGACAAAAAGCTCGACAAGCCTTTGGCCATGGCAGTGTTGTTTCTGTCTGGGTAAGGAAAATGCCTTGCTATAAATACAGTGACACAGCTCCCGTGTGCAGCATCATTTCCCTGGACTTCTGCATGGTAAATTGCTTTTTCACCACTCAGGACCTTCCAGGGGGTCCTGTGCCATTCCTTACAGCTTGGCTTTGGGCAGAGGGCTTGTTTTGTTCCACGAGATCCTTCCCTTCTTAAACACTTTCTTAGAAAGTTGCTTTGTGCTTGTAAAGTCTGAAGGCAGCACTGCTTTCCAGGGAGCTCCCAGGCCAGGGTGAGTGGGATGTCATCACATTTTCCACCTTTGCAGTTGTGAACAAGTTTGAGCAGGTGTAGCTGGCAAGCAGATTTTGGCTGTGCAAGGGGATCTTGGGTGAAGAATTACATGTAGTCCAACATTTTTTCCTATTAAATCACACCTTACTGCACCGTCTCATGAGCTTGTACTGCTGATAACCATTTTTCTGTCCTAAAACAAATAAAATACTTTAATAGATGAAACTGCTTGAAAGACGCTGTTGGAGCTGCTCTTAATAATATTCACCACTGTTGGTTGCAGATAATTTCCCTGGCTTACATGCAATGCAAAATTGATCATAAAGCTGCCTCATTTTCCTTTGTGTGACAAGAATGGTGCTGAATTTAGAACAAATTACAATCCACTATTGTAGTCAGAAAACTTAGGCAGTGAGCTGTTGTTCACATTGATGGTAACCACAGGTCTGCTTCTTTTGTCTCTTTTCAAGCAAGATTAGATTATTAGGTCTCATTTTCCCACTCTTTAGGGGAAATCATGCGTTTAATTTCTTTGTGGCTTTTTATTGTAAAGGTAAACATAAGGAGTGGAGGATTTTGAGATTCCTTAAGCTATTATCTTTCTGTAACATCTTTATTGACCAAATTTTTTTTTTCTTTCCTCTGTTCTCAGTTACAGACATAGAACTGAAGAGGCTCAAAGATGCTTTCAAGAGAACTTGTGGCCTCTCCTATTATATGACCCAGCAGTGCTTCATCAGGGAAGTTCTGGGTGATGGGGTCCCTCCCAAAGTTGCTGAGGTGAGCTGTGAATTGCTGTTTTCCTGGGAAGCCAAAAGCAGTGGATAATGGGAAGCTGGATGCTGTTCACACACAAATATTTATGGAGTTGATTGAATTGCTTCCCCTTTTTTATGCAACACCATAGTGCACCAGCTCTGCCTGGAAATGGTTTTCCAGGCTTGGATTGTGGGTGGTCAGGGATGTGCTCCCAACCCTATTAATACCTGGTAGATGATTTGAAGTCAAATATCCTATCAAACCTAAATATCCATATGTAAATTTGGGCAATTAAAAGATTGGGAATTTGTAACAAGACCACAGTAACAGATTTTATTTACTCTAGAGATGCACTTGCTGTTGGTTCCTTTGAGATTCCATAGGCTGTTACTTTGTTTTCTAAAGATGAATATTTACAAGCTCTTAAAAATAAATTTGTTCATGACAGACACATGAATGAGCTGAAAAATAACCAGAATCAAAATCTGCAACATGGATATAAACATATATCAATGTGTATATATCTAAAAAATAATAATAATAATACAATCCTACACACGTGCATGCTTAAAAAGTAATTTTCTTTTATAGAGTTGCCCCTTTCTTGAGAGAGATATCAAAATATTATTGGTAGAGAGACAAAGATTAGGCAGACCTTTCAAATGATCTCTTGCTCCATGTCATTTCTAGTCACAGCCTCTATTTTTGGCGTCCTCAGAGCTGTTGACCTCAGAGGCAGCGTGCAAGTCCCCCAGTTTTATTTAGATAACGTGAGTGCTGAAGTGTTGCATTGCTGAAGGTTTTACACTCTGGCAGAGTTCCTTTTCCTCAGCTTCATCTTTTCTTCATTCTTTTTTCCCTTGTTTTCCCTAATTTTGGCAAAGAGGATGATACTACTTTACTTCTGTAAACAGTTGGCTTTTTATGTGGGTGTTTAAGGCTTAGCAGGAGAATTTGCAGTGGAAAAGGAGGGGTCTGATTTGCCCAGAGCTTAAAGCCTGTCTTCAGCATGAATTTTTGAGTGTTTCTGGATGCTTTGAGAGTTGGTAACCCCTAAGATTAAACAAAAAATGTATCTTTCACAATTGGTTTGAAATAGCATAATATATTGAGAATTTTATGTTCTGTGCTAACTTGTACCTTTATATCTCTTTCAGGTTAGTAATAAGGATTAAATTATTGATCTGGTCACAAATAGAGATTCTGGGGTTTCTGCTGCCTGGTTTCATTTTATTTTTTAAAAAAATCTGTCCTTAAAGACACAATTTTGGTGATGATTCTCTCTTTTAACACTCATGATGGTTATAGAGCAGTTCTTGGTTTCCAGGTGGTGAAATAAAATTAATGGAAGCCTCCTAATTGGTTTTTGATGGCTTCTCATCAGAACTCATCTCAAAATTCGAGTACAAATTATGATGTACTTGTAGCACTCATACTCAGGCAGTGCAGTATCAAATCTGTGAGCTGAAAACTGTAAATTGGGCCAACATTGGGATTTGAGTCAAGGGATGCTTTGTAATCCCTGGCTTCAGGATGGGAGAGGCAGGCAAAGTCATTAGGCAGCTAAACCCCTGAATTTTCAGCCTTTCAGTCACTAAAACAGATCATTTGGAGCTGGGCTGTGTGCTCTGCATGCTGTCAATAATGGTTTTTCATATCTGAGGAGTGAGAGGCCTTCAGGAATTTGTTAAATTAAAAACACAGGAGTTTTAAACTGGACATGAAACAGAGAACTGAAACCAGCGGAACTTTGATCCAATTTGGATGATTGTCCTGCACACAAAACATCTCTTAAATATTCAGGACAATAATGTCCTGGGAGGATCTCTTGGGAGAATGGAGTTGAAGATGATAATAAAAGGAAATTTAGAGATGGTCAGTGTTGTTAAACTGCAGGAAAGCTGCTCAGGTGGTGGGAAGAATGAGCCAGCTTTGGTTTTTAAATCTTGTTATACTCTTCAGTTGCCCATGAAACAGAACATGTCAGGCTTAAATTTTACTTTAAAAAGTACTATGTGTCTTATAATGCTAGTAAATTCTACATTCTGAAATGCAGATTGCTGTGATTCTGCCTGGGTGTGGCTGTTTTAAGGAAAGCTGCAACAGCATTAAGTCATTTTGGAAGACACAAAATTGCATCACATTTTGATGGTGCATGTTATCAGAAGTTTTCCAAATGCCACACCAACGTGAAAAAATGGGAGAAATGATGTGTTACATGACTATTCAGTGTTTATCAACTCTTCCCAAGGAATGATTGAGCAGCTAAACTCCAAACAATGCCAGCAATTCCATATATTGAATACTGATACATTGGACATTATCCATAGAATTCCTTTCCTCTGTTTAGCTCATTAGCAATGCTTGTGTTGAAATAATGTATAAATGTAATATTTGGTACTCGTCTGGTCTCACAGCTGAGATATACAAAGTTCAGCAGAAGTGAGTGGATATTTTAGCTGCATATTTTTAAAAAGTAGTGATTGCAGTGTAATGTGAAGGTAAATTGCTCACATGGATGGTGTAGCCTTGAAGGCATTTGGTGAAGACAGAAGGATTAGACATAAAAAGTGTGGAATTCAAATCTCTGCCTTGAAGCCTCTACAATTGTTGTGGCCAAATAAAGCACAAATTCACTTTTCAGAATTCAGCCCTTCAAGCATTTGTAAATGGATTAAAGTTTAGGAACAGAAGAGGCTGATGTGGAAATGAAATGTGTCTCAGGGTGGGATGGAAGCGAGGGTCAGGGTGTTTTGTGGAGAATGAGATCCTGCTGTGCTTGGATTGACATCACCATGCCTGCAGACAGATTTTAGTAGTCCAGATGGATGGATGGATGGAGAGACAGACAAGGAGAGGATTTCTGCAGGTGGCACAGCACTGCTGAGGAGCAGCAGTAAATCTGGTGTAGCCACTCTGTGTCAGATGTTCCCTTTTCACCCTCCTGCCACCACAGCACTGTGTGGCTTGGCCAGGTCTAACCTTGCCAGGCTCAGGGCTGGTTTTATTTGGGCACTCCCAGTTCCTGGCTTAATTTTGACTTGTAGTGGAAACCACCCCGTGGTGGTGCAGTGACTCACGGGGCTCTGGGGCTCCCCTCTCTGCTGCCAGCCTGCTCCTGGGGATTCCTGCTGCATCCCCTGATGCCTTTGAGATTATCAGAGCCCAGCCAGGAGGAGATTGCAGCCCTGATAAAGAAATTTGGGGAAACACCACCAGGAGCAAGTGAGAAGTGTCTTCACTGGAGGAGTTTTTATATTGCTGTTCATGACTTTTACCTGTGTTTCACTAAATAAAGGCTGTTTGGTACCAGAAGAGCTACAAAAGGGTAACACAGTTAATAATTGGAGTGTCTTTAGCTGAATGTGGGGTGATGAGCCTAAAAACCATGTAAGATGGAACCTCAGTTATAAGGTTTTACTTCTGACATCTCTGTTTGCCCTGGTTCTGGTTAGCTTCTCTATTTTATTCTTCTAGGTTATCTACTGTTCATTTGGAGGAATATCCAAAGGGCTGCACTTCAATAACTTGATAGTTGGATTAGTTCTACTCACAAGAGGCAGAGAGGAGGAGAAAACAAAATGTAAGTGATGTAACTTCAAACAGTGGATTGTGAGTGTAAAATATGACCATATGACAGTGAAGATGGGATTTTTTGAACCATTTTTAGCTTTATTTTTGGAAATTAAGTGCACCTTTGTTTTCTGTATTCATCAAAATGAGATATTTGCCAAGTCATCATGAATGTCAGTGTTGGGATCCTACAGAAAGCCTGATGGTCTCTGTATGTGGGTAGAGGAAGGAGGATGGCATCGATATTTTTCAAAAAAATGAAAGCGTCTGCCTACTGACTTCTGTTGTTTTGTCTCCTCTGTTAATCTGACTTGATAATACTCATTCTTCTTTTGATTAGAGTGGTAAAAGAAAAGGAAGGTCTTGACCTAAACCTTGTGGACCTATATTGAACTTGGATCAGCCTAAGTTTTTAGCCCTTTAGTTGTTGCACAGCCTTTGTATTCTCAAATTCTCAGCCAGTTATAAACCTTACATTTGAAAAATGTCACTATTTACACATATTTCTATTTCCTCAGATATTTTCAGCCTCTTCTCTAATGAATCTGGGAGTTATGTTGTCCGTGAAGAGATGGAGAAGATGCTGCATGTGGTTGATGGGAAAGTCCCAGAGTCACTCAAGAAATGTTTCTCTGAGGTATATCATGTACCTTTCCTCCCATTGCAGCTACAAAAAAGTCAAGATTACATTAAATAGCTTCTTTTTCATACTCATGCACGTATGGGAACAAACTGACCTTGTTCAAATGGGGTAAAAGCTCATGGGTTTTTTGTATTGTGGTATTCCATGTAATTTATATTGATGAGAACACTATTTGGTGTATAAATGCAGGCATTCTCTGTACTCCTTGGAAAGAGATAATTTCCCAATGGTAATGATGTCATCAGGTAAATTTAAATACTAATATTGCTGGTGGGAACTTAGTCATTAGTGTGAACATTTTATTGCAATCGGGGAAGAAATCTAGAACACAGAGCTGAGAAGAAAGAAAATCTGCATCCTGGATTTAAAAATGCCTGACAGCCATGGTTGCTTCAAAATAATAGTTTTATATTATTGCTTTTGTATCATTGTTCCTGCCAGGAGCTACAACATTTAATTATGCTTTAAGTTGTAAAGAGATGTAATCTTTATGGAGCTTGCTGAAGTCCTCCTCTAAAGCAGGGCATTGGTGCTTTGCTATATTCATAGATGATTCTTTAACTCCAGGGATCCTGATGAATTTTCAGGGTTTTTTGCTTGCCTTCTTATCAGATGACTAAGACCAGCAAAATGGAGATATCACTGTACATTCCTCTGGCAAAAGGATTGACCAGATTGACTGGAAGCTTTAATTGTGGCTATCAGGTTACTTAATTACTTCACATTTTATTGTTCTCTGTTGGAGATGGCTCTGGTTGTGGGCAGTGCCTGAGCCAGACTCTGATCTGGCCCTGGTGTCCTGTTGGCTTTGGAGGTAGTGATTGCATTTCTGAGTCCTGGCTGCAGCCATAAATCCTGAGTCCACTGCCCTCCAGCTTCTGGAGCTGACCCTCAGTGCCATTGCCTATTTATAATTTCCCATCAGTGTGGTGTGATGAATTGCACCCTACAAGTTAATTGCACACTGTCCAAGAAATCCAGAAATACTTTATGAAGCCTTGCAGGAAGATGAGTATCAATCTGGGCTTCAGAGCATTTTCCTGTTCAAGAAAATGCTGCATATTGATTTTTCCTTTAAAATGAAAATAGTGTAATAACCCACTCAGCAGGATTTACTGGGCTCTTCATCATCCATAGTCATTGCTGGAGAGTGAGAAAGTTTAATGTTCCTGCTGTGGGCCTTCCTGCTTCCTTGTGGAGGATGGCTTTGATTTCAAGGATGATGTTTATAGGCACTTCTGTTCATCAGAATTATTGCATGTACTCAGCTAGAAATAGAAGCTTTAGAATATATCTGTGTTTCCCTTTTGTTTCTGAAATACAGGGAAAAACTTCAGTGATAACTGCATTGCTCATGTCCCATCATAATTCAGCTGTAATCATTACTTGCTTCAAATGCTTTCTTCCTCCTATCCAAAGTTTTTCTGTTCCTCTTCGTTGTCCTCCCAGGGGAAAATGGAGTTTTAATGACCCAGCTCTTGCTGCCTTTACAAAGAGCAGTGCAAAAAGTAGAGGGGAAAGGGTGGAACAGAGAGTGAGAAAATGTTCTTTTCTCTTGATCCAAACTGTTGGAGAAGTGGAAGAATAAGAAATCAAAGTGAGGGAGGTGAAGCTGTGTCACAGGGTGCCCAGAGCAGCTGTGGCTGCCCCTGGATCCCTGGCAGTGCCCACAGCCAGGCTGGATGGGGCTGGGAGCAGCCTGGGACAGTGGGAGGTGTCCCTGCCCATGGTGACACTGGCTGGGCTTTAATGTCCCTTCCAACCCAAACCAGTCTGTGATTTGTTGGATGGAAATATAAAAGTCTTTAGTCTGGAAAAAGAGGCATAAAAAGAATGAGTATCTGGAACTGAAACAGCCCCCTGCAATGGGAATAGGAAGCAAATGTTTCAGCAGTGCTGGTGATGAACCATTGGAGCAGCCTGGCAAAGGGAATATAGAGAATTTTCAATTTTCTGCACTTGGCAGTTGCAGATAGACTCTGGCCAAATGCAAATTGTTGGATTCTGTAGAGATGTAATTCAGTGAAGTTTAATGGTCTGTGATATGAGGGGAGTTTAAATAATCAATGACTTGAAACCTCTTCCACTTTGCAGACCCCTGTTTATTTCCCCTGGAGATGAGAATCTCCATATAATGAGTTTGTCTACTGATAATGGGTTTGCTTTTATTTGAGGTAGTTTTGTAGGTCCTGTAGAAATTAGTCTGCTGATCCCTATGGTTTCATGGCCACAGCTTGGCAAGGATCCAAAGAAATGGTTTAAACAGCACTGGAATTGTGTGAATGTGTATTTTTTATGTGTTCCTGAACAGGGAGCTCTAGGAGACAGGGAGTGAGGAGATCCTGGGAATGTCATGTTCACTTTTATGCTCCAGTGTGGGTTTTGGTCAGTAGAGGCAAAAAAGTCCACATGTTCCCGCAGTAATTAATCACAGCATCAGTTATTCCCAAATCTGATTTTTCTCTGTTGTTTGTATATCTGCACAGAACAGAATGTTTATGATTTTATAGCACCTGTTTTTTTGGTGCAGCAGAGCTGGTATCTAGAATAATACATTTAAATTCATCAAAATAACCTCTGCTCTTTTGAATTGCAAGTAACCATTTTTCTTTTCATCCCTTTCACCTGAGGTTCAGAGTAAATGAGTTTCCAAAGGCCACATTGAGTAGGTGGCTAAAATGCAGAGAAAACTTAAAGTTAATTTCCCTCCCATTGCTGTTTCAAAAGGAAAGGGAAAAACAGGCATGGCTCCAAGCAGAAAAATTACATTAGCACTTATTTTTCTAGGAGATTGTCCCAATTTTTTGTTCATGCAGTTGGATGGTTCCTGTTTACTGGCAGTGAGAAAAACAGCTCCCATTTTCTGGTTTTTCTTGCAGGGTGAGAAGGTGAACTATGAGAAGTTCAGGGTTTGGCTGCTGCACAACAAAGACGCTTTCACCTTCTCGCGGTGGCTGCTCTCAGGAGGGGTCTACGTGACCCTCACTGATGACAGTGACACCCCAACCTTCTACCAGACCCTGGCTGGAGTCACACACTGTGAGTAAAGGTGCTTCTTGTCCTGCACATCATAAAAAAAAAAAACCCTGCCAGAGTTCACAAGCAGAATCGTTGTTCATTGAATCTCCCCGCTCCTCCACGTTGGGTTCAGTGAGAGAAATTCCTTCTCTGAGCTCATCTGTTCTCTGCTTTCTGTGCTGGGATGTCAAATGTTGTGTACAAGGACACTAGGTTGTTATTTTTAAGAGATAATAATGCTGAGGCTGCAACACTTCTGTAGAAGTTTGCTACCAAGCAAGCTTAAAAAAAACGTATCTTCTGAAGTGGCTGGCTGGTAATACTGGGTTTATTTTTGGTCTGTATAGTAGGTTGTAAAACTACTCAGAGACTTGAGAAAATAATATTTGTTTCAAAAATAAGTGTTACCTCTTAATTTGCTTCTCCAGTAAAATAAATAATATTCCTGGCATGTGGTAGAATTAACTAAAGAGAAGCATCCTCAGGAACTGTCTCCAGAGAAGAAGTGTTTCCTTATGTCTATGTTAACGTAAAAGAAGGAACAGCTGTTTTTTAAATTAAATCCAAAACCAAAAGGCTGATAAATGACACTTGATGTAGCAGTGTAGTGCAAACATCCATTCCATCCCTGAGGATCCTTGGGAGGAGGGAGTTGGTTGTGGGGGTGTCAGGGATCTGAGCAGTCTGGTTGTGCTTCATGTGCTCTCACGGATTTTCCTCACAGGTGTCAGTGTGGCATTCAATCCTCTCGTGGGTGAGTTACTTAAAGCAACACACCCTTTTTATCCTCTTGGTTTTAAATATGGGCACTCAAACTCTTTTCTGACCATCTGAAATGAAAATGCATAATGAAGTCAGGAGTTTATAAGCAGGTAATTTATTTGCATTATATGAAAGGCTGAAAGGAGACATTGAGGTTACAGAAAACCACTGAATATTCTGAGGTCTCACAGACAAGCTGGAGAAAGAGGAATGTGAAAAAAACCCCAACCCTCTGAGAGTTCTGGATTTCAGCTCTGGGAAAGATCTTGACCTGTGTCAAACTGAGATCTGCTCTTTTTTATGCTTTGAAATTGAAAATTTCACAACAGTTTTTACTGGGCTTTTCACAGGTAGTGTATTTATACTGAAACTGAGGTTTGGAATAAAAAAATAATTTAAATATAACAGCTGCTGTTTTAATAGATTTTGTTTAATATTTATTGTTGTTCTCAGTTCTGGTTTTGATATCTCTGTCACTGGTACCATCATGTCAGAGCTGGGATTGAACTTTTCAGTGAATTCCAGAAATGCATGGAGCTGATGTGGTTATTGTCTACAGAATTGGAAAGTTCATGTGACAGTTATGTTTGGACCTCTAGATACAATTAAATTTTACTGAATTCCCTTGTGATTTACAACAGTGTAGGAATCTCATCCAACACATGCAAAACTAAGGAAAATGTAAGTGCTTGAGCACTTGGAATTAATTTCAGCCTAATCAGGTCACTCCAAAGAGTAAGAAATTCAGTACAGAAGTATTTTTAACACAGCTGAATGTGTAAAACACTGAGAGCTGTTGAAGGCTTGTTCTTGTTTTTCCTGGGAGAATGGTTGCCTTTGGAAGGAGCAGGAAGTGAGATAATGTTTGGTAAACTGAGGCATACACCATAATACAGAGAAAGAGGGAAAGGTTTCCTTTTCTTCTGTTGTAAAATGCAAAGTAATTTGTGCCACTCCCTGGTGCAATCAGAATTTCTGAGTCCTGCTGCATCTCCTGGCACAAGCCCCAGGCCCCCCTCCCCAGCCTTACCTCACACTCTGCTTCCCATCCAACTTCTTGGACAATATGTCACAGCCATAAAAAATAGCAGGGATAAAAATAGGGAAAGTTATTCCCTTTGATTTAGAAACAGCCCCCATTTCATGCAAGGCATCAGTGACTCCATTTAAATTTGCTTAATGAGCCAGTCTATCAGGGAAACAAAGGAATACTAATTTTTCATTTGTAAATAGCATTTGTTTTTGGTGTGCAGATGACTTTAATTACATTTCTCAACACATAATTAGAAATGAAATTTTAAAGTTACAGGAAGTTGCACACACTTGCTGCTTTTAATCAGATTTTGTTCCATTTCACTTAAATCAGAAATATGAATCATTTTATTTGAAAGCTGCCAAAATAACTGGCCTTTGTTCCTAAAAAAGCAGTTTCAGGGATGTGGATTTGTCTTATACCTGAGGAATAACCAGGTAGCAGTAGTTTGGATTTTCTCAGTTCTGTAGTATGATCATATGCATTTAAATTAATTTAATTTGTATTTTTTGAAGCCATCACATTGAACAGCACTGTGGTAGAGCCTGTAAATCCCACATTTCTGTCACACTGACTCAGGGGACACCTCATTGATTTCCTTCATTTAGCTGGAAATGTTTTTTTCTGCTGCAGCATAGGTGCAGGTTGCCTTTTTTATGTGCCTTTTTGGTGTGACTCAGTGTCACGCAGTGGGCTTAGATACCCAGGTTTTCAGCCCTTTTCCATGGGGAAAATAATTCATCAGGGTGCTGGTTTTGAACTGACAGAATGTTTAATTTGTACTTCTTTGTCACCCAGTTCTTGTGTCACTGAGCTCTCATTAAATAACATCCAAATTCCCCTTTGAATGGAAGAGACTCCCGTGTTGTCAGAAAAATTCACGCAGTTCTTTCTGACAGCTCTCACCCACCGAGGTGTGGTTATGACTGCAATCAGTACAAATAATCCTATTTTAGAATATCCATTTATCACTATTCAGTGCAGTAAATGAGAGGAGCCCTGGGTTAGCAGGCAGGGTGGCTGAAATGGAAGAGGCAGTTTGGGAAACAGCACGAAATCCAAGCTGAACGTGTTGGAATGTTGTGCCAGAGCTGGGATTGTCAGCTCTGTGGGAGGATGAGATGGGAGGCTGAGAGCAGAGTGCACTGAGGGGATCCCTTTGCTTTGCTGGCACTAAAAGGCTGCCTGTTAAATCCATCTTCTGGAGCTGGGACACCCACTCTGCCAACAGGCATGTGTGGAAGGCACTAGAAGACAATCCTGGAGATTTTGGCTCTGTGTGTGGAGGGCTGGTTTCATTCTGTGCTGCCTTTCCCACGTGTGAACTCCTGTGCTGTGAGGAGCTGTGCTCTTGATGCCTCCCTGTTCCCACCTTGAGGCACTGATAATCCTTATTCTGCTGCATGAACACCTGGGTGGCCACGTCTGACACACACTCAAGGATCTCTCTTGACTGAGCTTTTAACCTTCCCTTCCCTGTGTGTTTGTTTTGAATTAGGAAGAGCACAAAGATGAAAGTCTGACATCAGCCCAGGCCAATAAGTAAAAGCCTTGGTGTCACTTAATCTGTGTTTTGCCACTTGTTATCCTCTTAGTTCCAGGCTATTTTATGTCTTGCAAAGCAGCTCTCAGTCCCAGAGTCTTCTGGGGGTTAATTTGGAAGGCACAAAGGAGAGTTTTTAGTGAGAAGCAGTGTTTGGTGGCAGTTTGGGCTCCTGCCTGGCCATGAAGAGCCCTCCCTGCCAGCAGGGGCTGGGGGCTGCCTGGAGCACGTCATGGTGAGCAGGGAAGCAATCCAAGCCCTGGTAAAATGTTGGGAATATGGTATGTTTCTGCTGCTGTGAGCCAGAGAGGATTGTACCCATAGGTGGGTAAATATTGAATTTTGGTCATATAGTGGAATACTTGGGGATTTCTGGTCGTATAAAGAATTGTAATAAGCAGTGGCTGAAATGCAAGCATGCTTTTAAATCTTAAGGCAGAAGATTATTCATAGCTTGGTATCTATGGAATATTTTAGAGGGGCATTTTGTGGGAATGGCCTTAACATGGGTGTTTAGTGTTTATCACTGCCATGCACCTGGCTGTTGATCAACGTTCTAAATTTAACTAATTTTTAGAAGTTTTACAGTTTTAGATTATATTTTGATTGAGAATGTTTATTCTTCCTTTACAAGAAGAGGACTGTGCTTCATTTGTACTTATTATCATCCCTCTGATTATATTGGTCTAATTCTCAGAGAATTGAACAAGAAAAAGTATTAATAGTTTCACAGATCTGAAAGTTTTCTGTATTTCTAATGGTCAAGTGATGAGGGAGACATAAATCAGCATGTGGTAGTAAACTGCTTAAATTTCTCAGGTGTCTCATGTCCATGTGACCTCAAATAATCATATCATGTGTTTTATTAGCAAAATGAATAATTACTTGGCCTAGAAAGCCTGTGTGTCCTGAGGTTTTGGCCTATATCATGTGTATAAAATACATCCTTTTAAGTAATCTGAATGAAAGCCCAATTTACAGTTTGGTGTGATTTGAACAGCCATGAGGGAAAAAAGTATGTACTTTGAAAAGATAAAATCTTTTATCTGTACAAAACCTCTGTGGAATGTGGAGTTTTGTCATGCACATTGATATGTTTGGGTATTGAGTGTACTGTGCCTTTCCCATGCTTCATTTAACTTCAGTAACAAATATGATTATGTGTATAATCATAAATTGCCAGAGATTTTTTTGGTTTGCACTCATGGAGGAATAGATGGTGCACTGCATATCCTGAGACTCATTTACAAGATTATGTGAAAACTTAGTCTGGAGAAATCAAATTATGCAACAGCTGCTGCTCAGCTGCAGTTGAACTTCCCTGTGCTGCAATCCAAGAAATGCTGCTCCATTTATTCTGGTGCACTGGGCTGCGATTTGTTATAGCTGTCAATGAGAAATATTCTTTTGTCACATTTTTACTCCTGGTTAACCTGATTTGTGTAAGGCTAATCAGTGCTAAGAATGTTATTTACTACATGGTTTTACTTTCTAAAGTGCTTGGCTCTTGTGCAGAAAATTAGTGCATTTGGGCTAGAATAAGAATGTAGCACTTGTGCTAACACTTATCAGCTGTTCTTTTAAAGGTGATTATTTTGAAAATTCTCTATCTTTAAGTGACTGTGATGTCAGTTCACTGTGAACAGAAACACAGTCAAAATGCTTTCTGATGACTTTTATTTTCTGTGCTGAAATAATCAAACAATGGAGTTACCACTGTAGAAACATCTGTGAAGTACAAGCAAAAAGATCAGAATACTAATTTCTACTATAGATATTTGAGAGATATTCTTTCAAAATATATTCAAAATATTCTATACAAAATATTCTTTCAGTTCTTAATTACTAAAGATAAATATTGCACCTGCCAGAGAAAGGTTTCTGCATATTTACTCTTGAGTGAGGACAGTTTGAGCTTCCTGCTGGCTTTTGAATATTCTCAGTGTTGCATCGCTTGAAGAATGAAGTGCAGCTCACACATTTGTTATTCTTCCTCCTTACAGAGGTGGATTAGAAGGAAGCAAAGTGATTTACATGGTCATGCACAAGAGAACATAAATAATGCTTTTGTTTTTGCTAATGAGAGCAGTAAGGTGGAAGTGGAACTCCTGTAAATGACAGCACAACCTCCCCTCTCCCATTGTCTGGGAAGGGGAAGAGCCCCGGGATTCTCCTTACATCTGTGATATTTCTGTGTGCTGATCTTCAAAGAAATAACTCCTCTATTCCTCTATCTAGATTTCTAGTAGAATAATATTCCTTCCTAAATTTGGATTGCTGCTTCCTCGTGTATTGGGGACAGACTTTTAGTAGGTGCGAGGACATGGGCTAATGGGTTTAAACTGAGAGTAGATGTGAGGGAGAAAGTTTTTGTGATGAGGTGGTGGATTCCTCATCCCTGGAAACATTCCAGGCCAGGTCGGCTGGAGCAACCTGATCCAGTGGAAGGTGTCCATGGAGGAGGCTGGGGTGACCTTTAAAGGTCCCTTCCAACCCAAATAACTCTGTGATTACACCCCAGCCAAGAGCCAGGGGATGGTCCAACAGATCAGGGGACTGCTCCATCTGGGAAGGAGGGGAGAGGAGAAAGGAAATGAGTTTTTCTTCTGGATCAGCTCTTCTCTCCCTGTGTGCATGCCCAGGAGCTGGCAGCGATCCCTGAGGGGCTGGGGTTGTCACCTCTGTCTGTGCTCTGAAGGCACACAGGAAAGGGACACTTGTCACTGATGTCTCTTCTCCTGCTGGGCTGTCTAAAAACACCTTACAGGAAAATGCAAACCCTTTCCACTCCTCCAACTCCAGATATTTTATCCAGATTTCTCCACTCTCTCTGCTGCTGAGGGTAAGGGTTGTGTAAGTTTTGGTGCATCATGTGCTGCTCCTGCTGGGCAGTTACCACTACTTCATACTCACTGCAGGTTACCTAAGTTACTATTTTAAGTAAATTACTGCCACTAATGACAGAAACGGGCAAAGAAATCAATAAAATTTCAATTTGACACAACTTTTGAGGTAGAGCCCTTCAGTTCTTAAGCCTCACAGGATTATTATTGTTTCTTTGGACTAAACCAGGCCAAATAGCTCAAGTTAAACCTATTAGAAAACTGGCATGGATTTAAAGGCTCAGAACCATCTGGGAATGAGATCACACATAGTGCTTCTTAATATAGACAGCTTTGTCATTACAGATCTATTTGAGAACCAATTAATTGGCACTGACCTAAAGCACTGTTGTGACACACTTGCATATGTAAAAAGGTTAAAAGTATTGTTGGGCAGAAATTTAATCTTGTTTTATACATATATATATATTTAATTTCAAGGATAAAGCATAAAGAGAGCATTTGTATAGAATGTTTTGAAGGAAAACAAGTTCTTCCTCTGGCTATTTTTATCCATCCTTGCTTAGCACCTTGTTTTATTTCTTGGGTTTGAGTTTTTTCCCCTTTTTAAATTGCCTTCTAAGTTCCTCTGCAATGTAGGCTTGTGTGACTATTCCCCAGTGTTTACTGTAAATTAAATAATTGTAAATAATTCTATAGTATAAATAATAAAGTGAAGCAAACTATTTTATATCTGGAAAAAAGTAATGCTGAGAGACAACATTTAAATGCCACATTAAAATTTAGCCTTATTACTGTACAAAAAAGCTAAAAATTTCAAATAGGAGTTTTTTAAGGGCAGCCAAGTGCTACATAATTATTTTCCATAAAAGATGTGGGATTTTTTTTTTTTTAATGCTACTTCACATCTTTTTTTGAGGATTTTAATACTGAATACCCAGGGAAATTAAGACACTGCACATACAAGCAGCCTGTTCAAATCACCAAACAGGATTAAGGGAAAAATGAAGAAGCTCCAACAGTGGGAAAAGTTCATTTCTGGGTTTCTAGACACTTGTGATGCTGTTATTGATGGTGACTCCTCAATGGCAAATAGGTGAGAGGATTCTGTGGCCAAAGAAAGTAATTTGGGTTTATTTCTGTTGCTTCTGCAGTGGAAGAATCCGACATCATCGACCTGGAGAAGCGATACTGGCTGCTGAAAGCTCAGTCCAGGACTGGACGCTTCGATTTGGAGACATTTGCCCCCTTAGTGTCCCCCCCAATCCATCAATCCCTGAGTGAAGGTATGGAGGGGGAGCAGGGAGGAACCTCTGCTGCTCTGCTGCCTTCCAGCTGTCACAGCTTTGAAAGTGTCTGTTCTGAAATGTCCTTTCAGCCTGAGGGACAGAATAACTTCACTGAGTTCTGAAAACTGGGAAAAGAGGGAAAATCTTTGTCTGTTGGGAGATCTGGAGTGCTGAAGGAGGTGTTGCATTGTTATCAGTTGGCAGGAAATATGTCAGATTTTATGTAGAAGGTGCCCTGTGGTTGTTAGTAATTTTTTTTCTTAAGATTCTGTAAAGACAAAATAAACTGCTGGCCCTGAATGAGGGAAAACCAAGCATTTTTATACTGACAAATGGGAGTTTCATCTATTTCATGACACCTCAGTGTGCAAGTCAGCTGGTGAATCATGCAGCCAATGCAGCACTCCTCCCTAACAGTGTAAATTGAGGAAGATTTTATTCAGGAGGCTCAGGAGATTTGCAGGTTGTTATTTCTACTGACAGCCAAACTGGTCTGTCCAGCTGAAGTCACTCTGGTAATAACTGGAGTTGTCCAGTTGCCATTTGCTGCATGACATGGGGAAATTGGAAAGTCACCTGCAATGGTAAAAAATCAGAATTTATGTCCAGTTCTGTAGGGATATATCCCCACATTCTTTTTTTCCTGAGTGTCTTTTATCTACTTAGCGATTTAAACTTACACAGCTGCTGGGGGGGGAAACTTGAATGTTTTCTGGTCATTCTTTGCCTTCTGTGGAGTCATTGTGGCTAAAAAGAAAACAAAAACAAGTTATGGGATAAATAGTGCTGAATGATTTGAACTATTAAATGCTGTGAAGGCTGGTGGCTACAGCTCTTACCTGAGGGCCAAGTTTGCAGTGCAGTTCAGTGATTTGCACAGGAATTTCTGCCAGGCACGTTGGAAGGTCTGGCCATACAGGTTCAGCTCCACTCTACATCAGTCATTACAAGGAGGGTGTGAGGAGCAGGCAGCTGTTCAGAATTCTTGATTACCTCCCCACCCTGGCTGGATCAGCCGTCCCTGAGACATCGAATTCACATTTAAATGGTCTTAGTAGTGCTTAATTACCCTTATTACACTTAATGAGAATAAATGACAAGTGTTTGTACTTCTCCTTGCCCGTGTTCCCCATGAACCCCTCATGGAGGTGCAGGGTGGCTCTCAGGTGCTGTAACAGGAGATGCTTTTGTGGTTTGCAGGTTTGTTTAATGCTTTTGATGAAAACCGAGACAATCACATAGATTTTAAAGAAATTTCCTGTGGGCTCTCAGCATGTTGCAGGGGACCCTTGGCAGAGAGACAGAAGTGTAAGTATGCAAAATTTAACTCTTAATTTGGGAGCAGTTTTTCAGTTTGAACAATGAGGTTTAGTTGTTTTCAGCTTTTGAGATTCTTTTTCCACTGAACAAGTCTGTGAAAAGTGACTTTAAAAGTTAAAAAAACCCCAGGAATTTTAAATATCAAGGTTTCCTTTTATAAAGGATGATTAAACCTAATTTCATATATTTTACAGCTTATCAGTAGTTCCATGTAAATTATCTAACTGGGAAAAACTACATTTCAGAAGTGATTTTCCAGTGTTCTGCATTTTGAGGCAGAAATGTGTATCTCAATATAGAAAGTGCAAACACTTAGCTACTCATTATCTATAATAGAAAACAAATGTCCTATTTGATTGTCTTGTGGTAAATAGCATGTTGTGACTTTTCAGTGCCCAGTTCCCAGCTGGCTCCCTGCAAGGTTCCTGTGTTTTGAAACACTTTTTGTTCCCTACTTCTCCAAAACCACATTGTTGCAACTTCCAAGCTGTAATTCCCTGGAAATTTCTGGATGCACATATGTTCCCTGCTAGGTCCCATCAGCAAGCACAGCAGAGGATTGCAGGGATGTGGATTTGAATTTATTAAACACAGCTGCTCCGTTTCCTCACCTCCACACGTGCATCCCCCCTTCAGAACTGTCAGCACTGAATCAGCTGCTCAGGGGCTGCAAGGAATAAAGAAAAAAAAGAGTTGTGGAATGGTTCTAACAGCAAAGTCATTCCTTTTTTTCCCTCAGTTTGCTTCAAGGTGTTTGACGTGGACCGCGATGGGGTCTTGTCTCGCACCGAGCTCAAGGACATGGTGGTGGCACTTTTAGAGGTCTGGAAAGACAACAGGACAGACAAAATACCTGTGAGTGGTGTCTGGGGGTTGGTTTCCTTTTGTTTCCTGAGCCACCCTTCCCAAGCAGGAATGTACACCTTGTTTGGGTGGGGGTCAGTGAGGTACAGGCTCCCCTGAGCCCCTCAGCTGGGGAGGGGGACAGGTGGCTGTCCCTTGCTTTGCAGAGCTGTCACCTGCCCCAGTCACAAGGTTTGGTTAAATGTGTGTTCTGACCTGCCCAAATCCCAAGGTTTGGTTAAATGTGTGTTCTGACCTGCCCAAATCCCAAGGTTTGGTTAAATGTGTGTTCTGACCTTTCTAAATCCCATGGTTTGGTTAAATGTGTGTTCTGACCTGCCGAAATCCCAAGGTTTGGTTAAATGTGTGTTCTGACCTGCCCAAATCCCAATGTTTTTTCTATAATGTCTGTTCTTTCATATAAAGAAAGGTACAAAAGCACAGTTTTTCTCTCTGGGAGCCCTTGGTTTGAATTAGTGAGAGTTCCAGCATCTCTTACAATTTTATTTTTATTCTGAGCACGTCCTGCTGGGAGACTTTAACTCTGATTTCTAATCCTTTTGTTGAAGGAGTTGGACATGGGTTTGTCTGAAATTGTGGAAGATATTTTACATGTGCATGATAACACAAAGGTAGGAATTTGCTGTTCTTTCTTTGCCATTTTTATACCCCAGTATCTTCAGCTTATTTATAAGGAAGTGCTTTCTTTAGAACAGAGATGTGTCAATAAAAGGATCTTTTTCAAGAAATGTCAGTTTTCCATTAAAATTTACCACGTTGTTCTGTGAAAGAACGTGTTTGAATTTTATAAGCCATTTTAATACATAAAGCTAAACCCAAAATGCATAACTAGATGAAATTAATTGGAAGCCTGCACTGTTTGCAAGGCTCTGCTTGCAAACACCAGTTTTAAATCTGATGCCTGACTTCTTTTCTTTGTTTCCTGTTAAAATTGATCTTGAGAGAGAGTGCAGAAGTTTATCTTATATTTTATGCTGTGTCAAGACACATTATCCTCCTATGGAAGCAGCTGTCATGACACAGCAGAAAGTCCTGGTAGTTTATATTGTGCTTTAAGTGTAGCTGGGTGTAAATCTGTAATTATCTGTAATTCTCCTCCTTGCTCTTTGGAAATAGGAGATTTGGAGATAGCCACAAAAAATATTGTTGAAGTTGCTTCCATTATTTCATCCTTTGCTTCACTAATTGGGAAGAATGTCTGGAAACGATAAATAATTTATGAAAAACTATAAAGAATGTCTAGAAATGCTTAATTATGTGTGTGAATAGTTGTCTTGCCTGCTTGTACTCCAACAAAATGGTGGGCAAATACTTTATTGTAATTCTTTAATTGCCAAAGCAGTGGAAATTGTGGCTTCTCTCTGTTTCATCCTTTGAGGTTTTTATTGTTTGGCTTCTTGAAAAAAAGGGTAATTTATAAGCAAGTGTACAGCAGTCGTGATTCCACAAAGAGTTAAAAAATAAGACTTCAGTCTTCAGAGTATTTTTTTAGTGGCATCATCAGTGTAGTGCTGGAAAGAGCTGATGGTGCAGTAATTACATAAATTATTTAACCTCTTTTCATGTGTTAGCTTTGACCTGGGTTAACTCTGGAGAAAATGGTCTGTAAGGAGAGGCAGAGTAACTGCCAGTGCTGTAAAATTGGCTAACCTAACCAGAACCAGGTTCATGTTTTGATGGTTTTTCCCTTTCCTTCTCCTCCCTTCCAGCTTGGACACCTTACTCTGGAAGACTACCAGATATGGAGTGTGAAGAGTGCTCTTGCCAATGAATTTTTAAATCTGCTTTTTCAGGTATGTTATGGGGAAATCCAAGGTTGTAATTTACAGTAATTAACTGCTGAGCTTTCTGCATGGCCATGAAGTGCAGCGTCAGCATTTGTGTGCACAGGAGGGGATGTGGCTTTGCAGCTCTGGGCTGCCGTGGCAGAAAGATTCTCTCTTTGATTGTTGTTCTTGCAGTGCATGGACATGCCCAAAGCCTCATCTGTTCAAGAGAGCCTGGTGCACTGTTCAGGAAACGAAATTTGGAGTGCAACAGCAATTATGTTTTTCCATTAGACAAAGGCTGTGTTTGAAATGATTTTTGTGGCAAATCTTTGCCGAGAAAGTAACCCAGGGAATGAGAAAAAAATCACTAATTCTTTTCTTTTTCATTTTACAACCAGTTTCCCTTTACATTTTCTGTTAAGGCCCTCTAAGGTGCCTCTCATTGCTTCCTTAATGAAGCAGTCCTGGAAAGCTGGGATATCCTATCACTGTTCACTTGCAGAAGCTGAGGATTAAGTATGTGCTGAATTGGGTTTTAATTGAGCTTGAATTGGATTTTTCTAAATCCTTGAAAGCCATATTTTATCTCTGGCTTGCTTTGTGCAGAAAATAACCCTAAAGAGTATTTTCATCCACTACAGTTTGTTCCTTACCTGTTTTCCTTTGAGGTTGATACTTGGAGTTTAAATAATAATAATAATCCTAATTGGCCTGTGACTACTTTATAAATTGCATTTTGAATGATACTTTCCCAAGAGCTTCAGGGTGACTGAGTGAGAGTATCCTGAGGCCACCAGCTACACCACAGCTGGAAAGAATAACACCAGAAAGTTCTTCAAATTCATTTTATCTCTAATTACATCAAGTTTGCTGAAGTTGCAGCCTTCTCCAGAAGGGTTGTCTTTATTTTTGACCTGTCTGGCATCAAATATCCCCTCATAACTAAATATTGATGAACTAACAAATATCCCTGCAATCTTGACAAAGAATGAATGAAGATGTAATAAATCTCTCTTAATGCTGATTACACATCACCAATGTTGCACATTGCTCATTGGAAGTCTCATTTACAATGTCTTTTTCCTCCTGGCATAGCTGCTGTGTTTTCATTTTAGATTTTAATCTCAATTTTTTTTTTTTTTGATAACTTTATCGTGTAAAGCACAGGGCAGAGTCTGCCATTGATTTATCTGGGCATTTATTTGAGGCGCCATGTGCCTCATCTGCAGGCAGAAAAGCCAAATATTCTGAGTGGAAAGCTTGTCAACAAATGGGTTTGTTTGCAGAGGGGTTGGTTTATCTGAAGAATCTCATTTTAGCTACACAAATTTAAAAAGAAACACCAGACCCAGCTGTGTTGTGTGTGCTGGAAAATCTGTTGCTCCCCCCTGGCTAATGGCCTTTGTTTCATTCAAAATGTGAAATGGTGTCTCTCACTGAAATATAAATTTAAATAAGACATCTTAGCAGTGATTAGAAATCTCCAGCTGAGATACAAATTGATAGCCTCAAAAGAGACAGAAGGAGAAGGCTGTAAATCATGGGGGGAGCAGCAAAACCATCTGGGAGGGTCGAGAGCTGCCCCTGCTCCTGGCAGGTTCCTGAGGAGCCCTTCCCTCCTCTCCTCCTGTCCAGCCTTACTGGGAAGGGAGTGCAGTGGGAGCCATCTGACACTGGTTTGTACTGGGAATAAAGCCCCACCCAAGCCAGGCAGCTGCCCAGGAGATGGGGCCTTGTCCTTCGAGTTCACTTCAAAACTAGATCAAAAAAGAGAAAAACAGCACCAAACATCCAGAGAATGCCCTGACCTTTGCAGAGTGGTTTTGGCTGTGGTTTGGGTTGGTTGCTCTGCTTTGAACTTCTCCCTCAGCCTCTCCAGTGCTTGTTTCCCTTTCAATCCCATCTAGAACCACTCATTCCAATTTTTTTTTTTTCCATTTAAATTATTTTAAACTTTTAGTTCATCCTCTTCCAACCACTTGCACTCTCCCAGTTCCTCATTCCCTCTCCCCAGTGCACCCAGACATCCTCATTTGTGTATCTGACCCACTGCAGTCCTGGGCTCTGTCACAGCCTGAAAATAATGAAAACTGCTTTGCTCTTCACATCACCATTTCTCTTGGGGCATTTGACATTCTTGGTGCTTTTATCTTAACAGTGGGGACAAGCTGGGAATGTCACAGCTCAAAAGACTTTTTTATTAGCGATTGATTCAATTTTAAATAATCTTGCTCCATTATTAAATGATGGAAAGTCTCATCTGAGTTGTTTATTTTCTTTTATTTGCCCATTAATAAGAATTTATTTATTTTCCCAGGTGTGTCACATAGTTCTGGGACTGCGACCTGCCACCCCAGAGGAGGAAGGACAGATTATTAGGTGTGTGCTTTGCTCAGAAGCTTAAATGGCTTTCAGATCCACCTTTGAGTATTTTCAAAAGATCTGGAAATTCCCTGTTTGAGCTAAAACCTCCCATTCTCTCTGTGCAGAGGCTGGTTGGAAAGAGAGAGCAGGTATGGCCTCCAGCCAGGGCACAACTGGTTTCTCATTGCTATGCCCTGGTGGCACCAGTGGAAAGAATATGTCAAATATGTAAGTAGAATAATAATAATAATAACAATCTATACTGAAGAAGTGATTTCTTGTCTTTCTGAATGTGTTGATGGAAAAAACAGTGTGGAGGAAATATCTGCTGAACCCGTAATGCTCAGAATTGAGCATCTCCCGTCTCTTGGTGGAAAATAATTGTTCTGCTGAATCATTGTTATGTGGGGAGCTTTGCACTGTAATTTCATTAAATGCTCATCTCTTTCATCATTCTTGCATCTTAAGATTATTTTTGAATAAAAACCATGCTCACAGGAGCATTTATTTCACATTTTCTCATCCATCTGATAATAAACTGCCCACTTTGGGTTTGGCCACAAATACACTCTGAATTTTCTAGACAAAGGAGGAAATTGCTATAATTTGCTTTAGAGGCAATGGCAAAAAGTAGTCTAATACCCAATCAAAGGAGCTGTATTAAAACTTTTTAGATACAGGGTGCTCTTTAATACCCTTTAATTAAAATATTTAAGCTAAAGCACTACTGAATTGTACAAAATACAGAATGTTTAATAAAATGTAGTTGGAGATAAATATTATTTGCAGGCTAAACAAGTGAAATAAACCTCTCAAAAGAGTTTTTATGTCCTCATAAGTAAATTATTTGTTTTATAAAAACAAATAGCTGAAAGTACTCAGACAGCTAACCTTGTAATGACCATCATTCTTTGTGCACAATGAATTGGCCAAGTGAGGGTTTAAATGCCAGAAATGCCAGGTAATTTGATCCTTACCCTGGTGTGAGTGCTCAGATGTGCTGCAGCATTTTATCCCTAATCCTTTGCATAATGGCACGAGGCCATTACTCACTGAACTTCTCAAACAAAAATCAAAAACCACCAGAATTTCTGTGAAAATGCTGTAGGTTTGAGGAAAAAATGTGATTTTTGTTGTTGTGCTTGCTCTTCTCATTTAAATCTTCAAATATTTGCAGTCTGTAATTACAGCTGTTTAAAACCAGGTATATTTTTATGTATGTAGGTAGGGAAATAATTTTGGAATTCTGACTCTGTGCGGGATGGTTTATTTGATTATTTCAACAATTCTGGGAGTTGATTTCTGCTGATTTTTTTTTTATTTGTACATGTAGAAAGCATTTTTCCTTCAGCAAATCCTGTGATGTGCAAAAGCAGTCACAGAACTGTGAATTTTTGGTGGCTGGTTTGACTGACACATCTTTGATCTTGGCTCATAATTAACTTTTTCTCTTTCTTCCCACCTCTAGGATGCAAACCCAGTTGTGATAGAGCCTTCATCTGTCTTGAGTGGAGGTAAGAATCCCCTGGTAGCTGCTGCAGCCAATACCCCAGAACAGGGAGAAGACAAAATGGGAGGTCTTAATGGCTTCAGTGCACCAGAAGAAAAGTTTTCAGATAATATTTCCACTGCCTCAGAAGCCTCAGAGTCCACCAGCAGCAGTAAGCATCTTATTTCCTTGGAGGTTTAATGTAGAACAGCTTTTGGGAAAACTGCACACTGCATGGACCCCTCCAGCCAGAGACATAGCACACTTGCATTGCAGGGCTTTTAGGATTTTTTTAGGATTTTTTTTTTAATTATATTTTTAGGATTTTTTGGGATTTTTTTAGATTTTTAAATATTTTTTTTTAATAATTATTAGATTTTTTTTGAATTTTAAAAAATTTTTAAAGGATTTTTCAGTCTGTGGTAGCTAAGCACAAAATCTTGTTTCACAGCAGTTCATCTGTTATGCTGGGATTCATTTCCAGAATTATTTTCAAGGTATTTTTTTGTCCTATGGTTTATTTTCTGAGTGGATTTTTTTCTCCACCTCCACTTTCACATTAAGTTATTTTAAGCTGGTTGATCCTATACTCTGCCATGCAATGTAGGGAAGGAACAGCAAAAAGCCATGAGGAAAAGCACAGTTGTACTTTTACAGGGCATGTGATTTAAATTTGAATGAGTTTCTGCAGCTCCTAAGAGCCATCTTTGTGAAAGAAGAGATTTTTAGTCCTGATTTTCAAGGAGTTCTTGTGAGAATTGGAGATTTTTTTTTTCTTGTAAGGCAGCTGAAGGCTGCATCTGATACTTTAAAATCATAACTTAAATTGAAATTAGGTAAATTACTGTGATGTTTTTGGGTATAGGGGATGGGGAAAACAAAGGCTAGAGAGACAAGGGTTCTTTCTTTTTATTTTTATTTTTATTGAAATTTCCATTTAGTTCTGTATGACCAAAGAAGCTTCTATAAGAATAGAACCATTTGCTTTTTCAAGGAAAAATAAAACTAGACATTATTTGATATATCTTCAGTTCTATATATGATTTTTTTAGGAGTTTGATATTCAGACATCCAGACAACAAAGTGCTCACCACATTTGCTCATGCAAAGCTGGTTAGGCTGTTTCAGAGCTGTGTTTGTGTAGTCATGATATAAAATATATAAAATACACTATAAAATTATAAATCCCTTTCTGAGAGAGAATAGATTTATCCCTCTGGAGGTGGAAGAGTTGCATGTTTCACTGCAGGATGCAGGGCAGCAAACTTGGTATTTTTGAAAACAAGGATACAAGAGCGTGACTCATTCCTTTGTGGTTTATGGCATCAGGAGCTGAATTATTTCTGTTTTTTCTCCCGCTTTGTGCTCAGATACTCTGTACCCTGGCACCCCAGGCTCTGAGGTGAGCTTTGCAAGGCAGCACAACACTTCAGACAATAACAACCAGTGTTTCCTTGGATCCAATGGGAATGCTCTGCTTCAGCTGAACCCCCAGAAACCAGGAGCTATTGATAACCAGCCCCTGGTCACCCAGGAGCCAGTCAAGGTACAGGCAGCCAAGGCATGGCAACAGAGAAAAAGCATATTTTAGCTCTCTTTTATCACAGCTTTTATATGTTGGTTTTTTTCAGCTTTATTCTGGATCAATGCTGCTCTGTCATACAGCAAAATTTAGGTTTCTTACTCAAATTCTAAGAGGGAAAATTGTGTTCTGCTTCTACAGCTCTCTTGTGTTTTGTGAGAAAAGAAACATTCAAAATATTCTTACAATTGGAAAGGTATTTATGAAAAGACAGCTTGCAGCATGAAATGTAAAATACTTTGATAACCAAACACTTCAGCATTTCCATCTAAATATGATTTTACTGCTGCTGCATAACAATATAGTAAAACAAAACTGATAGTTTTTGCAGTATGAGTGCAAATGGAACACAGAGCAGCAGCATCAATGCTGAGCAGTGCTGAGAGATGGGATTTTTCCATTCAGAGTTGTTGGAGTAGGGGACACAAGAGCAAAACACATGAATTTTATACTGCACACGCTTTTGGAGAACCAGCAAATAATGAGACTTGAACGTTAATTACTGTTACATTTAACTACCATCTCTCAGTGTGAAAAGCAGCTGCTAATTGTTACTTAGAAGTCTTTTAATAATTAAAGAGTGTTCATGAACTAAAATCATTGTGGCCATGTACTCATTTCTCCACTTGAGATGTGACAAAACCCTTTTTTTTTTTTTAAAGGCTGCATCATTAACTATGGAGGGTGGAAGGTTGAAGAGATCTCCACAGCTGGTGGAAGGAAAGGACTATGTCATGGTGCCAGAACCAGTTTGGAGAGCACTTTACCACTGGTATGGAGCAAACCTGTCCTTGCCCAGGCCGGTGAGTTGTGATTTTAGACCCTTTTTAACAACCAGATTTGTCCAGTGGCACGAGGTAACCTCTTAGAGTCATCTCCCACTTCATCCTGTGTCTGGAAGAGCAAACTGGGGAAAATAACTCACCACAAACTGGTCAGCTAAAAGGCTTGGCATCAAAACTCCCACCTTTAAGGCTGAGTTTAAAAGCTAAAAAATGAAAAGTGGCACACCTGCAGCTCTGAAAACCTGTTCCTTCTCTCTGGAATGTTGTGAAGTGAGGGTAAGGCAATAATTGCTCCTTCAGGTTCAGCATCACAGAAACACAATGTGCAGAGCTGGGGGAAGAGCTCAAAAGCAGCTGGCAGTAGGTGAGTCAGGAAAAAGAGCAAGCCAGGACTCTCCTCTGGCAGAATGGCTGCTCAGGAGCACCTGGGAGCTGGAGCTGCAGGAATCTGCTCACTTGGAAACACTGGGAACTTTTTCTTCCATTTCTATTGAGTGTATTTATTCCACTGAGTGGTTGCTTTGTTCTGTGTCAGGTAGTCCCTTGTAGGAGATGCACTTAAGAAAAGGATACGAGGGGATTTTTGTGCTGGTAGCAATAGGTTTTTGGTGGTTGGTGTCATAAACATGCAGTGTCACAGATGGAAGAGGATTATCTCTATATTTTTGACAATTTGGTCTGTTGGCTCTAGTGCAGACAATTATTTTACAGGGAAAAATCACTGGCTCCTTACCTCCTCCCACACATTCTCCATGGAAACAAACACCTTTCATGATCCAGAAAAGGCCACATCACTTTATACACAAAGTAATGTGCTTTTTTTCCCCTCAGAAAATGTCATCACCATTGTTTTTGTTGTAGCTGAAGTTGAATACTGTGGCACTTCAGTGTGGTACGTTCCTTCTCACAGCTTGAGCTGTTTTCTTCTTCTTCACATGGTCACAAAAAGACTGAACGTTCCTTCCATTTCTGGTTGTATATTTGGACAGATCTAAGTGGCAAAATCTTTGTAGAAATGGTAGCTGAAAAGCTGCAAAATATGTTTTGGGGTAATTTCAGCTTTTTCTGTCAACACAGCAAAATGCAACAGAAGTAGGTTGCGGCCTGTTTGTACAATATGAAGGTTTTAAGTAAATCCTGTGGTTCACAAAGTTCAAACCAAATGTCTTATCCTGCATTTGTCAGTTCTTTCAACAGCTGTGAAACTTTTATATGGAAGTATTACACACTGAGTGGAATTAATGAGGTTCATTGTGGATTCACATAAATTCCAGGAATTATAAAAATATTCTTTCCATGCTGTGGTGCAGAAAGCGATGCTGCACTAAATTAGGTGTTTGCTTTTGACAACCTGAAGCTAATAAGCTCCAAAAAGTGCTTAGGAATCAGGAAATTGTCATTCCTGGGGATATTTGCCTAAAACCCCACGAGAAGTTCGGATTTTTTTGTCTCCTCATAAAAGAATTTGGCTTTTTAATTATTTAATCACTTTTTAATGATCAAATCGCTCCTGTTCCTATTGCTATTCCCTCCACACTTGCAAGGTGGGTCTCTAAAATGTTCCACATGTGTTTTGCAGGTGATCAAGAACAGCAAGACCAACGTGCCCGAGCTGGAGCTGTTCCCTCGCTACCTGCTGTTCCTGCGGCAGCAGCCGGCCACGCGCACCCAGCAGTCCAACGTCTGGGTCAATATGGGTATGATGAGCCTCAGAATGTTCCCTCAGCATTTGCCCAGAGGTAACTTAAGAATGCAGCAAGAACCACCACGCCCTGTGCAGTTTCTAGGCCAGCCCAGGCTGGGGGAGCTCCCTGCGCTGTGCTCGTGCTCCAGCTCGATCGCCCCGCGGCGCAGTCGGCACTCGGGACCATCCAGGGCTCCCCTGCTCTCTCCTCAAAGGCAGCAGGGAGCATTTGCAGGGCTTTCCCCTGCCCTCTCCTCAAGGGAAGGGCTAGCAGGGAGCATTTGCAGGGAAATCAGTTGATTGCCACACTTATGGGTGAGAAATGAGCACTGCAGAAGCTGAACTGGTCAGGAGAGCCAGAGCTGGGCATTCCCATTTTGGGAGTGATTGCTGTAGCCATGGAATAGGTGCCTCTGTGCCTCTCTGATAGTAAAGTGGCACAATAAATTCAATTAATGCTCAGCCAACTGCTTCTGGGTTACTTGGGCAGCTGGGCTTTGATGCCCAAAATTATTTCATGCTCCTTAGAGAGCGATGAAATGAATGGAATATGAAGACTTATATAAGACAATTACATACCAAGTATAAACACCCAGCTAAAATCTATTTGTCATAATTGTGGTGGTAATGCTCACCAAAAGATTGTACAAGAGTAATCTTTAGGTTGTGGCTTCACATTTCAGCTGAGATGTTGCAGGATTTGTCTCCAGTTCCCAGTTTGCCTCACACAAGAGGCTGAAAGGAAGCCCTGCATTAACATTTGGACACACATTTGTATCCACAGTGACATGTCCAAAAATGGGCTCACCTGACTGCTGAAAATTCAATCTTTCAGCCTTGCTAGTGTCAGGATGTGGGTACAACCCTGATGCAGATGCTCAATTTTTCACTGCTTTGGTAGGATATCGACCCTCTGTGTAGTCAGCAGCTGCCTGTGCCATCGAGTTGTGCTGCACAAACTGCCTCTGCTCAAATTCAGCTTTCCTGCCTGACCTAATCCAATGGAAACTGCCTTGTTTGGACATCCTAAAATGCCCAAATTCCAATGAAAAGAATCTTCTCATTTGCCAAATTTGATCTTGATTTGGAATTATTTTGCACTGCACTAATTTGATTGTCCAATCTGTTATTAATCTTGTGGATTTCTCAAATGTGCTTTCTTGCTGTAATCTTACAACTAATCCTCTGATCCCTAATCTCAGAAAATGTTGTTTTCTTTTAAAAAAAATGAGTACTTTGCTTGGTACACTGAAGCCAGATTGATGCTTTGCTGATTTATAAAGTATCATTTACTCTCTTGTCAAATTGCATGTGATAATGTAATACTGCACCTTTTCACGTTTTATTGCTTATTTATTGTAATCTTTTAACAGTGAAAATAGAATTGTTTCACTTCTCAGGTATATAAAAGCTTTTTTATATAATAAAAGCTTTTCACGTTTGTGAGGAATGGGAAGCTTCTGAATTTCAAACATAAAGCTCAAAAAAGCCCCCTTCTTTAAAGTTGGTCTCATCTCTAGTGCAAATCTTTTATTTAAAGATGAGCTCCTATTAGAAAGAGCAACAATCTTGACCAATTTATTTGTTGTTGCAAGTGTGAGCTTGTTGAAAAATTTTGGTGGAAATCCCAGGTGTCTTCACGGAATATTTTGAGAAATTTACTTTTTAAGAAATATAGTTATTAAGAGTACTTTAATTGTGAGCTGCCAGGCTGATTTCATGTGCACAGATCAGCATTCATCCCTACAGAAGAGCTGAAGCAAAGTCATGCTGCTCCCAAAAATAGTCAAGCTGGTTTTTTGTACCTTATATTTTACTTACAACATCCTCTCAAAAAAGAAATCCTAACGAAATTTTGAAATTCTTTATTTTGAAAATTCCCTTTGCCTCTCATAATGTGTCTTTAAGAGACAAAAAGAATTGTGCAAACTTGTAGAACTCCATTGAACTTTTTAATTTCCTATGAGAATCTCAGAGAAGCAATTTTCTAATAAGTTTTGCTAAGGAGGGAGGTATTTTATCTGCTTTGTGACAGCAAATTTGTCATCCCAAAGGGTCAGTAACAACTGCCTTTCCACCTAACTCCTAAACACAAGCACTGTGAGTGTATAACACTTTTTGCAGAGAGTATATTCAGTGTCTAATTATTGATCTGACCTCTGGGTGAATCCATTCTCTTTTCCTGCTCTCTCACTTGAATCCAGGGAATGTCCCTTCCCCAAATGCTCCTTTGAAGAGGGTGCTGGCTTACACTGGCTGCTTCAGTCGGATGCAAACCATCAAAGAAATCCACGAGTACCTGTCCCAGAGGCTGCGGATAAAGGAGGAGGACATGCGCCTCTGGCTCTACAACAGTGAGGTAACCTTGCTCCTTTTCCTTCCTTTTTTTATTTCTTTTTTATCTCTTATGTGTTTTTATTCCTCTCCAGGATCTACTAACTACACATGCACAGAGAAATGAGAGTGGTCATTAAGATCCTTCTCAGTTAAAGACTTTTGCTCCTTGTTTTTCAGAGGTTTTTGTGCTTTAATTCCCACTGGAGGTGAAAGGATCCTCAGGGTGTTGTACATGTAGAACTCTAATTCTATGATGTGTTTTCTCCTCCTGCAGAACTATCTCACTTTGCTGGATGATGAAGATCATAGACTGGAATACCTTAAAATCCAAGATGAGCAGCATTTAGTAATAGAAGGTATAAAAAGTATAATTGACTATACTTCTAAAAATAGAGGTTTACAGAGGGAACCAATGGGGAGGTGGTGGCAAAGCTAATTTAGGAGAGTTACATGTATTTTGTCCCTGTTTTGAAATACATTTGGATCCTTTGTTGGTTTGCAGCAACACAAAATAATAGTGGTGGCTCATGAACTGATTTGTTCAGACCTGGTGGATCTTTATGGAGAATTAGAATAAGCACTGGAAAATTTGCTATTCAACAGCAAAAGCAATCCCAAGGCTGCTTCCTAAAGATGTTACTGGTGTGGTTGGAGGGATGCCAGTGTTAGAATGAGTTCCAATAATGATTAGAAACATTGAAATGAAAACTAGCAAAAATAATAGCTAGAAGTATGCACATTTCTAATCCTAAATATTATAAAATTTTAATTAAACCTCTTCAGCTGTGTTAAGCCCTCTGGAGTAAGTAACAATTTTTAAAAGCCCCTTTTCATGTCCTTTTCTAGTTCGAAACAAAGACATGAGCTGGCCAGAAGAGATGTCTTTTATAGCAAACAGCAGTAAAATAGACAGACACAAAGGTGAGTCTTTCACAGAGTCACTGGGTTATGATGAGAAGAAAACTCCAAGACAACAGTTGAAATGTTGAAACAATCTTTTTAAACACAAGCCCTGTTAACACTGGGTGAAGTCTTTTATGCTGCTTTGCTTGGCCTTTGTATTAACTGAAATGCTGGAAATGTGGGAGGGTGGGATTTCTTGTTTATTTCCTTGGATTTTGTTAAAGCAAGGAATAATTAAGATTTTAACAAATGAACCCAGAATTTTCAGTACCATAATTATCTGTAAATATTCTGTATAGATTGCACTGCTGTCTGTGGTGGGTCAGATTAACAAAACACCTCAATTTCTGTGAAGCAGAGTTGAGAGAGCAGATATCTTATATCTTAAACTTACCTGCAGCATCCATGTAGTGTCATAACTGGGACCAGGTTCCATTAAATTGCTTCCTGTGAGAAGATGCTGCTACAACATTCTCAATTTTCTCATCTGCACAACTGCTAAAATGATGGGTTTTTTTTTCTCAGTTCCTACTGAGAAGGGTGCTACAGGCCTGAGCAACCTGGGGAACACGTGCTTCATGAACTCCAGCATCCAGTGTGTCAGCAACACGCAGCCCCTGACCCGTTACTTCATCTCAGGGAGGCATCTCTACGAGCTGAACAGGTAATTCCTGGGCAAGAACAGTGCCATTTTGGGTGCTGGAACATTTATTCAGGGCTGTCTGCTTCTGCAAGCTGAAATTCAGTGGGAAGGAGTGATTTAAATTCAGTGTTACCAGCTCTGCAGCAGATACTACGTTAGAGGCATGGAAATACAACCTCTTGTTTCTGGGAGCAGGAAGCTTTTCTGCTTCCTTCTTCATCTCCAGGCTTGAGCTGTGGTTACATTGGAGTCTGGTATTAATTCCTTTGTGATTTCTAGGACAAATCCCATAGGAATGAAAGGACACATGGCCAAGTGCTATGGGGATTTGGTGCAGGAGCTGTGGAGTGGCACCCAGAAGAACATCGCCCCCTTAAAGCTGAGGGTGAGTTATTCCGGGGTAGAAAACAAGGATTTCTTGGAAAAGCAGAAATGTAGTGCACTTTTCTCTGGTGTTCCCTGTACTGTAGCTGTTTAGAGACTCAAGAGTTTTCTCTGAAGGAGTCAGTGTTCATCAGACCTGATGGAATGTGTTTATAAGGCCACAGGAGTTACGTGGTGTGGCACAAGTAGTACCATAATAAGTGGCTTTTGTAGCCCTTTTTAGGTACAAAAAGTGATGCATTTACCTGTAAATAAACTTTTGTTCTGAAAGCAAAGGACCTCCCTTCAGCTCTTGGCAATTGAATTTGTGTTCATTGAGCGCATGTCTCATCTACAGTATTTTGATTTATTTTTACTTGTTTTTACATGATAGTAAATAAGTTTCTGCTGGTTTTTTTTTCCATAGTGGACAATAGCAAAATATGCTCCAAGATTTAATGGCTTTCAACAGCAAGACTCACAGGAGCTTCTGGCTTTTCTTCTGGATGGGCTCCATGAGGACTTGAACAGAGTTCATGATAAGCCATATGTGGAACTGAAGGACAGTGATGGTCGGCCAGACTGGGAGGTAGCAGCAGAGGTAGGGTTTCAAATCTTTGGCTTTGGGGCTTTTTGTGTGTTTTTTCTTTTCCTTACAATACCAAGCTGAGAAACTGTTGATGAGGCTGCCTTTGGCAACATTTTGGGACTCTAGGGCCTTTCAGATCTTGTCAGAGCTGTGATTTACAGAGATAATTTCACTTTTGAGCTGAACATTCATTTTAATTGTTGTAATAAAATTATGAAGATGATACTTGACAACAATTTTGAACAACTCAAAATTAGGAAATATCAAAATATTTCAAGATGCCTGATGATCCCCTCATTGATTATTGTGTTGAGAACTTTACTTGTGCAGTAAATAAATAGTTCCCATTTATTAGAAATTAGGAAATAACTTTTGTGGAAATAATTTAACTCCCATAGGCCAGTGAAACTTTGGACACCAAGGAAGTAGTCTCCAGTTTCTAACTTTGTATTATATTTTTTGTGCTTCATTTCAGGCCTGGGAAAACCATCTGAGAAGAAACAGATCCATTGTTGTAGATTTATTTCATGGGCAGCTGAAGTCACAAGTGAAATGTAAAACTTGTGGGCATATAAGTGTTAGGTTTGACCCTTTTAATTTTTTATCCTTGCCTTTGCCAATGGACAGCTACATGCACCTAGAAATTACAGGTGAGTGGTGTAAATGTGCCATTCCTCAAATAAAATCTGTATATGTGGAACAGCTATAAAACATCAAATTTTGTTTGTGTTACTACTGATTCTTAATAATACAGTAATTTTAATATAAGAGTGCAAGGATTTTCATTGGAACACAGTCAAACCAAGGTAAGACCTTTAGAAACAGAAAAGGATGGCCCATTTTTAGTCTTGATTGAAGGATTTAATACAAAACCATTTTAAAATGGAGATTTTGAGAACTTTCCTTCTGTTCCCTCTCTTGTGGAGGTTGTCCTAAATCTGCCCAGAGGAGAAACAGGGGCTGGGGGGAGAATACAATATGGGGCATGAACTGTGCTCTGAAGGAGCTGTGGATTGCTGGAAAAGGAGCAAAAGGAAAGATGGTAAAAAACTGAAACAAATTTTGAAGCCATTTCCTACTGCCTATGCAGCAAGAGATTTTCTGACATTGTGACATCGCCTGCAGACCTTAAAAATTGACTTAGAAAATGAAATAAATCATCCATCCAAGTTGGGGAAGAAATATTTTCCAATAAGTGGGGAGCTGCAATATATTATTGTCATTAAAACCTGCCTGGGTTGCTGACCAGAGTGTTTCTTTTCCCCTTTAAAGTAATTAAATTAGATGGCACTACTCCTGTTCGATATGGGCTGAGATTGAACATGGATGAGAAGTACACAGGCTTGAAAAAACAGCTGAGTGAACTCTGTGGCCTCAAACCAGAGCAGATTCTGCTTGCAGAGGTGCACAGCTCCAATATAAAGGTAAAAATAAAAAAAGATTAATTATTGCTGCAACATTCTCTGGGTGTTTTTGTTGGTTGTTTGTTATTTTTAACATTTAAGCTTTGCTTACAAGAGCTGTGAAATAATTTAACTAAAAGTATGATAAAAAATCACCTTAGTTATCTCTCTAGATACTGAATAATTCTAGATAATTAACTTTTATTTCATTCTTAAACAGTAATTTGGCTTGCTGTAAATAGATTAAAATTGATTGCTAATGGTATTTTTAGGGGAAAAAATCATCTTGAGGTAATAAATCTCAAGTTAAGGTGCTGTGATGAGTTTAAACACTGTCAAGGCATCGTGACATCAGCAATGACTGGCTACAGTGTGTGTTGGTATTTCCAGGGTTTTTTTTTTGCTGTAGATTAAACGTGCTTGAAATGAGATGCTCTGGGTGTGGTTGGAGAACCACTGCTAACTCCTGCAGAGGGCTTGGGTTCCTTTATTCTTCTGGCAAGGTGTAAGGAGGCAGATGGGAGGGAGAGAGGAGCTGATAAACACAGTTTGCAGAAGAACAGAACCCATTTTGGTCCCAGCTGAAGGTATCCAAGTGCCTGAGCAGCTTTCCCTCTCTCCTGAAGAACTTCCCTCAGGACAACCAGAAGGTCCGGCTGTCTGTGAGCGGCTTCCTGTGTGCGTTTGAGATCCCCATCCCAGGCTCCCCCACGTCAGCATCCAGCCCTGTGCAGACAGGTGAGAAATTCTGCTTTTCCTGCTCATTTCAACTGCACTCTGCTGAGAAGCTCAGGACTCAAGTTCATCATTAAGTGAGGATTACAGAAATGTGTGGGTTGTGCTCGGTATCCACATGGAATAGAAGGGATAAAACCCCTGATCAGCTCTGGCTGCTGTGGATAATTGATAATTGATTTGTCTGCTTGCAGAGACCTCAACTGGGCCATCAGCCAACGGAGCCCCCAGCATCCTGATGAACGGGGACGTTGCCAAGCCAAGCCTCATTCCCAATGGGATGCCAAACACTGTGGTGCCATGTGGGACGGAGCGCAGCCCGCCCAGCTGGACCCTCAACGGCCACGTGCCCTCGCTGTGTGACAGCCCCTGCACAGGCTACATCATTGCAGTGCACAGGAAAATGGTCAGGGGCCTTGATGCTCAGCAGCTCTTGCAAGAAATGTTCAAAAAGCAAAGATTTTTTGAATGTCCACATGAAAATTATACACATTTATATGTGGTCAGATAACCTCGCCATCATGTCATAAAATATAAATGTTTTTCAAGTCAGTGATCAAAATTTACGGTATTTAATATTAGAGTTATTTTAACACAATTCTTGATTAATTTTGATTGCCAAGGTCTGAAATAAATCACAAGGCCAGCAATCCAGGTGATTATTGCACTGTGAGTTAATGCACCTTCACATCTGACTCCTCCTTTTGCTTCCACAGATGAGGACAGAGCTGTATTTTCTCTCATCTCAGAAGAATCGGCCCAGTCTCTTTGGAATGCCATTGATTGTTCCCTGCACAGTTCACACACGGAAAAGGGACCTCTATGATGCTGTGTGGATCCAGGTGTCCAGGCTGGCCAGCCCCCTCCCTCCTCAGGAAGCCAGTAACCATGCACAGGACTGGTGAGTTGGGCACCTCAGCCTTGGATCTGAGTTAGAGTACATTGCCTTACCCTTGCTTGCAAGATTTTAAATTGTGTTCATTTGGTTTTTCATAATAATGGCCTTAATTAAAATTAAATTCTTTTTAGTACTGTTAAATGTAGCTGCACTTAAATGTTGGCTTCATTCTTATCCAGTGATTGATAATTATTTATATCTGATGAATTTAAACTATGGAAAGGCAGCTTTTAATAGTAAATTGTAACCAAAATTATCATTTTGAGGGTTTTCTTTAAGTAATCATAACAAGCCCAGTGAAGGGAGGTAATTGCAGTGAGAGTGCTGCTGTTTGATGTTGTGTTCTCCTCTGTTTCAGTGATGACAGCATGGGGTATCAATACCCCTTCACCCTCAGGGTAGTTCAGAAGGATGGAAATTCTTGTGCTTGGTGTCCATGGTACAGGTAAATTGTTCTTTTTTTCCATTTAGAGCAGGGAATCACTCCAGCAGAAAGGTAATTTATGGTAATGGATCTGTGATACATTTCAGACTTCAGAGGTAATATCAAACAATAAGAATCTGGAATGTAATTTCACCAGAACTCTCTCCAGGCAGACTTGCACTGCAGCTTTTATGACTTGCAGAGCAGAAATTTCTGCTGCTGCAGAAACTTTAAATTAGGAGACAGAAATGAGATTATCCAAAACCTGTTAACTCCTTACAATATGCTGTGTCTGTGTGCAGCCTTGTATGTCCACAGACTTGCATGGTTTGGGGGGATTCACACAAACCCAAATTTTTAGATGTAATTCATCTACCCCTTGTGTGTTCCTTGCCATTTGAAGGGTAAGATCTAAAATTAATAAGTGAATAAGAAATTCACCCTAGAAGGACGTTTGGAATTTCCCATAAACTAAGACTTGCTAATGAAAATTCCAGACCCTTGCTGGAAGGTATTCAGGCCACAAACTAATTTTTTAAGAAGTGTTTTATAGCTCTTAGAAATAGTTATCATGGTGAAAATGGCTTGTGGAGACAGAGCAGTGGACTTGTTGGGCTTGTAGCTGGGTTTGGTCACCACTGGAGCATAATGGAATGTAAAGGACATTAAAGGTCATCCCACCTCAACCTCCTTCCATTGGAAGGGACAGCTTCCACTGGATCATGTGCAGGCAGATGGTGGAGCTCCCCCAACTGCTTCCATCTCTCACTCTGGTATAGTTTTGCATTAAAAGCACAAATAACCCTGAGCATTGCTGCATAACAATGCTCACACTGAAGGCGAGGCCTGGGGCTTGGAGGGTGCAGAGGATCCAAAACAAGGGGCAGAACTGGAGGAATGCAGAAGTGACTGGACACTGCACTGAGCACACCCAACTCTCTGATTCAGGTTCTGCCGTGGCTGTAAGATTGAGTGCACAGAGGACAGGGCTTGTGTGGGCAGTGCCTACATTGCTGTGGACTGGGACCCCACCGCGCTGCACCTGCGCTACCAGACCTCACAGGAACGGGTAAAACCCCAACAGAAACCCTTTGTTCTTTGGGAGCACCTCCGAGACACCACCCATTGCAGCCTTTCTATTTATGTGATGCTGCTTTTGTCCCTGTTCTGTTAAACCAAAGGCAGCAGTCGTGGGCAGTGCATTCTGGATAAATCGATCTCTTGATGTTAGACCTCTTATGTGGTCTAATGGTGTGGAAGGGAAGCTTTTAAAGTGCATTTGCTGTCTGTTGTGAATTGCTTTTAAGCTAGTCAAGATATATAATAATATACTACATAATACATTACAAAATATCTTAATTTGATACATTTTCTGTAACTATAAACTGTTAAGCTTGTGAGTAAACCTCTTTCCTCATTAAGCCAAAAAAACACATCTGAAGGTGAGCCTGTAGCTGGGTTAATGTGGAATAACTGTTCCAATTTGTGAGTTTTATCTATAAGGTTATACTTTATGGATAATTTATAAGCCCAAGTATAAGAACAGTGAATTATTTTTATCTGCCTCTTGATAGCTGAAATGAAATTCCTGCTAAAACTTACTGCATCTCATTTTTATCTTTAATTCTGAGCAATCCAGTGAAGTTATTTGTGTGGTACTGTGAGGAGAGCCCTCCTCTGAGCAGTGTGTGTTACATTTCCAAGTCAGAGAAAGTTTTCTCTCCCTTTCAGATCGTGGAAGAACATGAAAGTGTTGAACAAAGCCGCCGAGCCCAGGCAGAGCCCATCAACCTGGACAGCTGTCTGAGAGCCTTCACCAGCGAGGAGGAGCTGGGGGAGGATGAGATGTACTACTGCTCCAAGTGCAAGACCCACTGTCTGGCCACCAAAAAACTGGATCTTTGGAGACTTCCCCCTATTTTGGTAGGATCTTGTGTTATTTTCCTCCTCAGCAGCAAGCCCGTTGTTCCCAAATCTGCCAAGACTTGAATCCACCTCGCTTGGAATAAGATCATTTGCTTTGCTCACACTCAGGTGGGGCACTGAGTGAGTTTGCAGGCAAATAAAGCAAAACCTCACGTCCTTTTGAATGTTTTTAGCTGCTGCCTTGCAGGAAATGGTGGTGGTTTGAGCTCAGTGTCAGCTGCTCTGACACAGCTCATGCTCAGATGGTGACAAGATCTCCTCTCTGGTTGTGGAACACCTGCAGTTCTTATTTTTCACATTTGGTAGCTTATTCAAAGCAGACAGTGCTGATCACTGAATTGAAGCAAACTTTGCCATCATTTTCACATGAAAATATTAGTTTCATATTTTACCAGCTCAGTCCCAAAATCCAAATTGTCACACAGAGCATGATTTTTACTAGCATAGAATAAAATGTGTATGTTTTGGGAAAAGCTCTCTTTTGAACAGTGAAATCACTCACTGGAATATCATTGCCCCCCCTTTAATAATTTTCTTTACCATGTTTCCCCTTAGATCATTCACCTGAAAAGATTTCAGTTCGTTAATGGCCGCTGGATAAAATCCCAGAAAATTGTTAAATTTCCCAGAGAAAATTTTGACCCAAGTGCCTTTTTGGTACAAAGGGATCCGAGTCATTTCCAAAGGAAGCAGCTCACCCTGCAGGTTGAGAGCCTTCCTGAAGCACGGCCTGGCCAAGGGGACACCAGGAAAGCAGATGTGCAGAACACTGGCACAGCAGGAGAAGGGGACACTCTGAACAGGAGTCCATCCTCCCTAAACACTACTGTCCTCAATAATGTCAAAGGTAGGGAATGACTGGGGAAAATTCCACTCTGTGCTGCTGTTTGGAGGGGAAAAGTGCTATGTTCAAAATATTAGTGGGGTTTTTTTTGCCAAAGCACTACACTTGGAAATATTTCTTAGTGAAGCTTTAGCATAAAAAAAATGAAAGAAAATTGAAGAAGTTGTTGAGTGACAACAGATATTGCTTCTTGTGTAAGTGGGCTTGAATTAGTGAGGGATGTGTTTCTGTATAAAATAATTAAATTTCAGTTTTTAGGTGTATGGATGTGTGTGCACAAAGATGGGGGTTTATTTCTATATATTACTCGTGAGCTGCAGTGAAACAGTGGGGTTTTATGTTTGATTATTCAAAAAAATCACTTTAAAAAGAAGTCTAGACTGTGTTTGTACTCATCTTAGTAATCTCTGTGCTTTCTGTCCTAGCATCTCCATCCTTGGGGCGGAAAAGTGGAACCAGCTGCCCCTCAAGTAAAAACAGCAGCCCCAACAGCAGCCCAAGGACTTTGGGGAGAGGCAAAGGGCGCCTGCGGCTGCCCCAGCTGGGGAAAAACAAACTGTCCAGCAGCAAGGAAAACCTGGCTGCAAACAGGGAGAACGGTGCTGAGCACGAGCAGGGGGATGCTCTGACTAAAGGACAGGCTTTGGGGGGCAGCCAGAGCGAGCTGTACCCCGGGCAGGACAGCGAGGGGGCTCTGGCCAACGGGTTCCTGTGGGAGCAGAGCTCGCTCAGCAACGGGCAGGGCGAGAACCACAGCGAGGACGACACCGCCGACGACCAAAGAGACGACGGCTGGCTCAGCCCCATCTACAACCTATATGCAATCTCGGTAGGTGCTGCCCCTGTGCCAGAGCTGCCTCCCTGGCACGCTGCTTTAACCAAATGGCTTTGTTGGGTTCGTGCCAGCACGGGGATCTGTAGGGAAGGAGGGCAAAAGTCAGCACCGTGAATGCGCTGTAAAACTGGGTGTGAATTAAGTGCCTGCTGATTTGTTGTGCTTGTCTGTGTGAAGTTAGTCAGCTCCTGCTGTCTGGATTGCCGTGATGGCTCACTCACAGATAATGAGCTTGGGGATCATTTATTGGATGTTTGATCTAGGATTTCTTTTCTTCTTCATTTTCCTCAGTGCCATTCAGGAATTATGGGAGGGGGTCATTATGTCACTTATGCCAAAAACCCGAACAACAAGTGGTACTGCTACAATGACAGCAGCTGCAAGGTAAAGCACTTCTTTTCCTCATTATTTCACATCGTTATTCTAATTAGTTCAAATAATTTTTGCCTCGGTTACCCAGAGCTAAAGAAATTTGGAATCGGAAATTCTAGAACCACAGAATAGTTACGGTTGGAAGGAACCTTAAAGTTCATCCCATTCCACCCCTCTGCCATGGGCAAGGACACCTTCCACTAACTCAAACATTTGTGGAGAGCTGCTGTTTAAAATCAGGAGCATCTCCAAAGCTGCACCAGATAAATATTAAAATTATTAGCTGAAATTGTACGTGAGGTTTTTTCCAAGGTAACATCTGTTCATCAGCTGCTCCCACAGTTAAGGGAAGATGCTTTTTTTGTACAAAGATGGAAAAATGACTAAGAATGGAAAGCCAGGAATACATTTGCATGATGGCAGCAGTTTGTATTCAATTGGTGAATAACTCAGCTCTGACACTTCTAAGTGTTTGCATTCATCAGTATAAAATTGTCAGAGTTCCCAAGTAATTCATGGAGTGAGATAACAAAGAGGGGAGACAGAACATGGGATTCCTTATGTTGCACCCAGTTCACAATACACTTTTTGGGGCAGCAGTGTGTGTTTGTTTGAAGTGCAGCAGTTATCCCATGGGGTTTTCCCGGGTGTTTTCCCTGTGTCAGGAGTTGCACCCGGACGAGATCGACACGGACTCTGCCTACATTCTGTTCTACGAGCAGCAGGGGGTGGACTATGCCCAGTTCCTGCCCAAGATCGATGGCAAGAAGATGGCAGACACGAGCAGCATGGACGAGGACTTCGAGTCCGACTACAAGAAGTACTGCGTGCTGCAGTGAGCCCAGCTCCACAGGCTGAGGGAGGAACCCTGGCACTGCCCCTGGGGAGGCTGTGGCTGAGACAGGGAGCAGCTTGTGGTTGTCATTGTCCCCTGTGAGCTGAAAGCACAAAAAGAGCCCCTGGTTAAGCAGTTAATATCCAGTAGTATTGTTTTGTTCTGTTTTCTCACTACATGCTCGAAACGTTTCTGATGTTGGACATCTGAGACTGCCACTGGCCTTTAAATCCAATGGTTTGAGAAAAGCCAACTAGGACCAAATAAGAGCTAAATTAAACATCCAAATAAGAGCTAAACAGAGTAGTGTAGAGTTTACCAACTGTTCTAACACCCCCCGAGGCTCTCGTTAGGTTTAAGGTAACGGGGAAAAACAATTTATAGTGTTGTCTTTGGACAACATGATATTGCTACCTCCTTTTTCCTGCAGTTTTATTGCATTTTATTGGCAAAACAGGGAAGGCAAGAGAAGGATAAGTGCACAAATGGAAACAAATTATTGTCATGGGGAAGAGAAGTTTCCAGTTTTGCCACCACTAATGTGTGTCAGTTGCTTTCTTTCTGTATGTTGGGAGCACAACCAAATCATCATTTGAGAAGAGATTAATTTCTACACTTGAATGGTTTATTATACTTGTGTTTTTTCCACGTGTTGGCTGTGCAGATCAACATGTTTCAGGAATGGCTTTTCTGCCTGAAGAGTGCTGGCTCAAACTTTTTTGAGCTGCCTCAAGAAGAAACTTCAGGTTGGAGAGAGTAGTTGTGATTACACTCACGGTGTCTTAAAATGTGCACATTGCACAAAACGTTCCCAGCTTTTGGAAGGAGAGATGCTTGAGCTTATGTTTCATGACTGGTGTTGCTTTTGAAATTTGCACTTTTGAAAATGCATCTGATTCAATTGAAAGCCACCGTTTGTTTGGTTTTGTTGCTGTTGTTGTAAGGGCTCTGGAGTGAATGGCTGTGAATATCCACTGTGTATTTCAAAGGAAGAAGCTGTGGCTGTCCGGTAGCTGTCGTAGCATTCATGGATGGAGGTTTTTTTAATTGGTTTCCTAACTCAGTTTCTTGTTCTCAAAATTTGGTTGCCTTTTCAAATTATCTTTTCGTTTGTTTGTTTGTTTGTTTGTTACACCAGGTTATGCAAATACTTGCAATTAAACCAGACTTTCCAAGCCCTTGCAACATGCTCTGTAATTCAAGGGGCTTCTTGCATGAGGGGAAGTGTGACTGAGTCTTAGCAGAGAATGGGAAAAAAGAGGGTTGTTTTTTTTGAGCTGGCATTTCTTTAAACAGTTTCAGTGTTAAATTGTTTGCATATCTGAATGAAGATACAATTTTTCACTCTTTTGGCCTTTTGTTCTTCAGCTGAGCGTAAACAGCTTATTAATTTTGTTGTACATCATGTTCCCAGTTCTCTAGATTTTTGTACCTTCACTAACAAAACTGTTACTCACGTGGTTCTCTGCGATTAATGTTTGGATTCATTTTGGGGTGTTTGACAAGAATGCCAAACCCTCAGCAGTTTATCATTTCCAGGAGGATCTGGGGTTTATCCATTGGAGAAATGATATCAGCTGGTCTGGCTGTCTGCTCAGGCAGAGCCCTCCCAGCCTTTGGAGGTTGTGCCTCTTTGGGGACAGCAGATCTGTTCCAAAATGAGTCTTGTCTTACCTGTCAGGTGTTGCTCCTTATCCTCTATGGTCTTTTATCTTTAAAGTGGTCTGAACATTGAGCCTAAAGAAAAGCAAACATGACTAGTGAATTTCTAGGTTAGAAGCTTTTTCAACACCCACTTGTCTACTCCTCCCTCCGCAAACTCCATGAAAAGTGAAAGATTTTCAACTGATTTACTTTAAAATGTTTTATTTAAGCAGGTAGCACAATCTACTAATGTTATTTGATCTTCTGTGTTTGTTACATTGGTTGTAATTAATTTTTTAAATTAAATTAATTCAAGAATTAGTAGTAAATTTATTAAGTTAACTATTAACTACATTCACTTTGTAAATTATTGTATAAAACTTATTGACAATGCACTGACTTTAGAAAGATGTTAATGTACATAAATGCCTTGTAAATAAAATAGTGTTGATGTACTGGAATATGAGCTGTATTAAAACAAAGGTATTGGTAATTGTATATGGAGTGAACCTGTTTATCTGTAACTATATTATTCAAACAAATTAAATACTGTGGATGCAGATGAAGTGTCACTTCTTGTCAGATAATTTTTAATAACTGTTTTCCTGCTTTGAAGTATCTGTGCTGCTTCTATGAAGCTTAAATGCCTTTGTCAATCCAAAAGCTGAAGCACGGGTGTGCATCAAGCAATTCTTTGCAGCTTCTTCATTGTTTACAAAAGGTAAGTTGGGTATTTTGTTGATGCTAATAACATTTATTACTTGAGAACAATCCATGTCAGCAGCAAAGTGATCCCTCAGGTACAGGAAGGCTTTGCTCTGGTGTCTGTGGACAGGATCTGCAGGTACCTGATGTGCAGCCCTGCTGCAGCCAGGGCTGTTTGCCCACGTAGCTGTGGCTGCAGCCAGTGCTGGACACTTCCCCTGGGCAGGCAGGGATGGGAGAGCCCTGATTCACTCTCTCCCTGCTTTTCTCCAAGCGGGAAGTGGATCTGGTTGAGTTGGCAACCAGACCAAAGTCTGCACAGGGCTGATGTCAGGAGCACGCATCACCTGGGTTCTTTAGCTGGAAATGAACCATTGTTCTTTTTTTACAGCCCTTGAAGATGCTCAGTGGGTGTTTATCCAAGGATTAGCCCACACCAGCATCCCCAGGGTGTCTCTGGAAGTGGAGCCATCTCTGGCTGGGATGGGAGTGTTGGTGCAGCCCTGAGTGGTGACACTTTCCTGGTGATCAGCTCTCAGAGCACTGGTCATTCTTACCAGGTGTGGTCACCCCACGGCCTCACTGGGGTCACTTGGGCATTTTCAAGGTTGAAAATGTAATTTCAGTATAAAGAATATGGGCTACAGTACTTCCTGTCATGAATTTCCCTCTGTCACTTTAAGGTATTGAAAGGGGAATTTAAAAGGATGAAAAACTAATTACCAAGAATGTTCATACATGCTGCTGTCAGTGGTAAAGCTTTTATTGATTCATTCAACAGGGGACAGGAAAGAGATGAAGGTGTCACATCCCTGCCCAGCCTGCTGGATCCCTTTGACTTCCCAGGTCAGAAGTGTGTGGGTCTCGCAGGAGGGCTCAGAAATGAGCAGAAACCCCATTGTTTCACTGCACTTTTTGGGGTGGGAGCAGTGGGAAATGGGCTGTGCTGGGGTTTTCCCTGCTCCCTTGGTGTGTGTGGGGTGCTGGAGCACTGTCCTGCTTTTGGGGTGGGTCAGCCAGACTGCTGCAAACCTGGGGTGGCTTTTGGTGCTTCTCCTGGGAGGGAGGGGAAGGGGACAGCGAGGACAGCACCTCTTGTGCCAAACCCTCTTACTCCCCCCAGAGAGAGGGGAGGGATGGATGCACCAACCCTGGAGGGACCACTGTCCCTTCCCTACATCCCAAATCCAAAGGCATTTGCCATCCTGATCCAAAAATTGAATCCTTTCTGGAGCTGCTGTTCCAGCCCTGCTCCCTGCCCTCCTCTGGGCTGGCACAGGAGGCTCTATCCCTGCTTTTCTCTATATCTAAATAGCAAAATATCCCAGATTTATCTGTGATCATGTCCTGAGAACGTGCTGGGCTCCAGGCACAGCCGCTGGCCCAGGGCCCAGAGCATCCACGTAGATATTAATTATATTAATTATACCTTTTGTTACCCTTTTTCCCTCAGGTCCAGTAAATTGAAGCAAGAAGTGAGTAAAATGTAGTCATCCATGCTTGCTGATTTATCGTTTCAGGAAAATAAAAACCTGTCAGGAGCTGGGGAGATTGTGCCTTTTGTTTGGGACAAGCCTCTGGCTTCCTCGATCGTGTGTAAAAGATTTCCTGTTTGTGAAAATGAAAAGCAATGTTTGATAAGGTCCCTTCAGCAAAATGAGTCACAAAGGAGAAAATAGATTAAGGATGATTCTGGATTTGATAGAAATTAAATTTCGCTGGGAGTTGTGAGCATAGAGAACCAATGAGGAAAACTTGTGGCAAAATAAAGGTTTTATTTCTATTTAGGGTCATTTCAGACACACCTGATGACTGAACCTCACCCAGCTTTTATCAGCGCATTTAGAACTCGTGGTGACAGCACAGAGATGTCCCCAGGTGGGTCACAAGCTGCTTTGGGTGGTCAGAGTTCACGCACTTCCCTCCCCTGCAAAAAAAATAAACAGCAGCAGATGCTGCAGAGCCTTTGTCAGAGTGTTTGTGAGAGCTGGCAATGCAGCACTCGCTGTACTCTGATATTTTTTATCTCGGTGCTGCTGAAATTTTTTTCAGCACTAGGTTTTTATTGGGTGCAAAGTCCAAATGAAGTGGCTGAGAGAGCTGTGGTGTGTGATGACTTCTTTTGGATTTTGGAAATACTGTTTCTAAAGGCTGTGAGTGTTCTCTGTGTTGTTTCTCAGCTCTCTGTGAGGTTAAAATCCTCTGATTTTCCCCTGAACAGGGGAAGCACAGGGAGCTCCGGGGCCCTTACCAAGGTCTTATTTTGCATAGAACTATTGAATCCTGAGTTCTTTCTGACTCTTCTCCACCTTCTTATTCTCTCAAATACCTTGCAAATTACATTGTACACCATGAATTTGAGAGGTTTTGGTCAAACTGAGGTTGAAGAAAGGAACTAAACCAACAAATAAATGGGACAGTTGGTGGATTATATTCCTATGTTTGCAGTCAATGCAAGGGTTTGAGGCAACAGGTTTGGCTCAGTCTTTACACCCCACAGAAGTTTGTCCAGGACTTGCTGCATGTCTGGGTAATCTGGTTTAAAGTTTGCTGAAATGTGATATAGAAAGCAGAGTTTTAGGTGAAATCTCCTGTATGTTTAGCATGCAATGAAATTGTGCCTTCACCTAACACAGCATTTTGCTGGGGAAAATATTTATGTGTCTCATAAATTAACCTGGGCCTCCTGAGGAGAAGCTGCAGGAAAGCTGGAGCTGGGTGTTGGTTGGGAGCTGGAGAACAACAAAGGGAAGCTGCTGCTGCTGCTGCAGGGCCAGAAAAGGATCCAACAGCAGCACTGGCAAATCAAAACCCTTACAAATGGTGTTTGTACTGTGATGTTTGGAGTAGGGAGACAATGCAAGGAACAGGGTGATTACAGAGCTCAGCCCGGACATTGTGAGGCAGATCCCTCCTCCAGGGTGGCAGGGTGACAGGGTGACAGGGTGACAGCTGTCCCCTGGTGCCTGGGGAGGGCAGAGGATGTGGGGGGGCTTGTCCAGAGCAGCTGTGGCTGCCCCTGGATCCCTGGAAGTGCCCAAGGCCAGGCTGGATGGGGCTGGGAGCAGCCTGGGATGGTGGAAGGTGTCCCTGCCATGGCAGGGGTGGGATGAGGATGTTTAATGTCCCTTCCAACCCAAACCACCCTGGGATTCCAAGAGAGGGAGGAGGAGTTCAGCAATGGGGCAGGATGAGCATACCCCAGAGCCACACAGACTCAAATATTTATGAATACTTGGCAGCAGCAGAGCCATTAAATCTGGGCTGTGATGATCCCCCTCAGCTCAGCGCTGTCAGGACACAGCTGGGGCACAGCCCCAGCCCTCCCCAGTCCAAACCAGCCCCGGGGAACTGGAGAGATCAGGGCTGAGCTGGCTGAAGTTGGAGCTCTGCGCTCAGCAGTTCATGCAGTGATGATTTCAACCACGGCTCAGTGCTGGAGGTTTGTGTTGAGAGCCCTCAGAACAGAAAGGTGGATGAATTTTTGTTCTGTGGTGCTTTCCCTCTGATATGGAATTAAAAAACCCTTTCAATCAAAGCCAGTCCTGTTGTACCCAAGCAGTGCTTGAAGGGGCAGTGGAGGATTCCACACGGTGCTGTGTGCTGGCTGGGAGCACACGCTCGTGTCTGGGACCTTGCTCAGGAGCTAACGCCTTGGAAATGTTTGCTCTCCATGTGGCCGTGCCTTTTTATCTGCAGGTTTGATTATATAAATGTTCCTGTTTAAAGACACACGCCAGGGAATAAATCTCTGGGCCCACAGACCCTTTGAGCACAGGCAGCCCCAGCATTTAGCTGGTAACAAAGAGAGCTGGAGTGGAAGCTTTTTGATGAAGAGTTGGCAGCATATCAGAGGAGCAGCTTGGCCATGAGATGTGAGCAAGGATGTCACACTGGGTGTTTAAATTTCTTACCTTTCCTTCCAATTCCTTTTTATTTTTTTTTCTTTAAATGATTATGAATGAATTATGAGAGAGACGGTGATTGTTTTCAGTGTGTATGTGTTCAGATAGTGGCTCAGTTAAAAAGGACATTAAATTTGGATTTTAACGTAATACAGAGATCTGGCTGCTCTAATTGCAGTTTAAGTAGTAAGAATTAAGAGTGATCTGAAGAATGATCAGCTTTTAGCATTAAATCTCTTGTTTAACTGATTTAACTGGGCCTAAACCTGTGGCTATAATTTGAGGTTTTCTTCCATGAGAGTGGCAGGTGCTGCCACACAGCAAAAGCCAAGTTGAGTGTGAGGAAGAGTAGAGTTCAAATAAACAAAATACAGTAAGGGATGGCTAAAGGGAGGTGGGGGATAGAACACAGATGAGAATTTCCCTTCTGAATATCTTCCCCTGCCTTTGGCTGCTGGGCTTTGATGTCGCAGAGCACAAAGAGACTCCTCCTGTACCTGAGCTCTGTGTTCCAGGCAGAGCCCAGCCAGGTTATAAATCTGTAACGTTGCACTTCACCTTTTGTGTCTTGCTTAATGACCTTTTAAAAATAAATGCAGGATGGCTGAGGGGAACAGGATCGGTGGTGGAAAAGCTGACACGTCCGCAACCTGAGCTCTGATCCCTCTGATTGCTCCGGCCCGTTAAACAAAACTTCTTTTGCTTTGTGCTTAAAAAAAAAAAAAAAATTAAAGAGGGAAAAGGGGGACAGGGAAGGGTTTTCTTAGCTTGGTTCTCTGTCTTAAAATGCAGCTGGAAAGTTCTTTACTGGGGAAATGCTGCATGGAATTCACCTGCCTAAAGAACAAGAGCGCAGTCACCCATACATCAAAATATATTCTATCTGCTATTTCATTTTAATGGAAAGCTGCTGTTTTAAGGGGCTTCTGCCCCTTTGGAAGTGTCCTCCT